TTTAAATCATAAAGAGTGTGTTCTATGATACACTGGAATCAAACTAGAAATCATAACAGAAAGATAACATGAAAATCTACTATTTGGAAACTAAATAACATACTCCTAAATAATCTATGGGTCAAAGAGCAAGTCTCAAGGTAAATTTTAAAAATACACTAAACTGAAAGTGAAAATACAATATATATAATTTATGGGACACCCCTAAAGCTGTGCTGAGGGGGAAATTTATAGCACTAAATGCATAAATTAGAAAGTAAGAAGTCCTACTATATCTAAGTTCCCATATCAAGAATCTAGAAAGAGAAGAGCAAAATAATCCCAAAGCCAGCAGAAGGAATGAATTTATAATACAGAGAGGTTGAGGGCAGGAGGGAAGTAGGCGTAGCTATAAAAGAGCAACATGAAAGATCCTTTGTGATAGAAATATTTTGCATCTTCACTGTAGCAATGACAACACTTTGGTTTGATATTGTCCCGTAGTTTTCCAAGAAGTAACCATTGGAGGAAAATGGGTAAAGAGTAGACGAGATATCTTCGTATTATTTCTTACGTTGCATGTGAATCTACAATTATAATAAAGTAAAATAGTTTAATTTTAAAAAGACAAGCAACAAAAGATTTAACAACACAAAAGTGAGAAAATATTTATCTAGAATATACAAAGAATTTCAAAGAGAAAAATATTTTAAAGATGACAAAGTAGAAAAAGAATAAGATTTGAAAAGACAAGTCACAAGAGAGTAAAAACAATGAAATACCACAATATACCCACCAAATTGGTTATAATGAAATAGTCCTGACAATATCAAATGTTAGCAAGGATTGACTGAGCAACGTGAGCAAGGTTGAGCAATGTATATGAACTCTCACACTAGTCGGAGATGTAAATTGGCACAGCACTTTTGGAAAACTCTTCGGCATTATTTTAAAAAGTTGAAGATATATATGCCCTATGGTCCAATAATTCCACACTTAGGATATCTCCTAGCTAAATCTGTGCCTTAGGCACTATGATAAATATACAATGTTAATAGCAGCATTGCTTTTCAGAACCCCAAATAGCAAATAACCCCAAGTAGCAAATCAACAGAATATATAATATCAACATATTCATATAATTGAATAACAGGGAGCAATGAAAGGAAAATGACCAGACAGTACACATACCAGGGCTTTAGAATAGCATTTATTGGAAGAAACCAATTAATATAAGGGCAGTAGCAGGTTTGGACATTCCCTATTGCTCATTCCAGTTGGAGTCAGCACACAGGAATAAGAGGTACCCTGGTCGTTGTATGAATGTAACTGAACAGTGTCTCCTAATCAATTCCCTCCCTGCTCACTGCCAATAAGGAAGACCGTTTCTTCACCAGTAAGTCTGAAAACCATACAGTGGCTGGCCTGGAAAGGGCTATGATCCAATAGCTGCATGACATGACAGAACTGTGGTTTCTAGCCTTGTTCTACCACTTCATCCATCATACATCAGTTAGGAGTGAAAGACTCTCTCTTGACAAGACCAGGGGCAAAAGACTATGACTTGATATGGCAGATGAGTGGCCTGATCAGCATTCTAGTAAAATTGATTTCCTTAAGCACTTGCCTGTAGCTAGTTTCCATGGAGCTCAAAAGCCAACTTATCTTTTAGGAGGCCAGCCTGCAGAAAATCTTGAACAAGTTAATTCTTACTTCTCAACCACTGTCTCTATGTGGCCTCTATGCATCATACCCAATTCCATCAGCAATACATACCATTTCAATCTATAGTGAGCTCTGGAGAATGACTAATACAGTGACTCAGACAATGGTTCTCAAACTTGAGCTGTATCAGAGTCACCGAGAGGACTTATCTGCAGATTGAAAGTCCATGGAGAGACCTGAGAACTTGAATTTTTGAAGAGTTCTCAGTTGATGTTAATGTTGCTGGTACAGAAACCAGACTCTGAAAATCACCAGAATGGGGAAAGTTATGAATAACCCTTCCCTAAACCAGAGGCTGAGGGAGCTCAGATTCAGACGAGAAGAGGTAACCGAGTTCTGATTTTCAGGTACACTAGATAACCTTACTGCCTTTTTTCATTTGCTGAATACTGATTATTCTCCTTATCATTAATCATGATCCATAAACAATAAGATGTGTTGATTAGAGTACAGACAGGCCTTTGGCTGTCACGTCATGTAGATCAATTCTATGGTCTAAATCCACCCTAAAGTAACAGTAACAATGCTAATAAATAAAAATAAATCTGCCCTAAGGAATCCAGGCTAATTGGTTAGGTAGCTGGAGTGGTATCATTAGCTATTTAGCCTAGCATAACTAGAATATTTCCTATTGACTTTAGTCTCAATTACCCCCACCCAGGAATAAGACTAGGTAGTGTCTGGTAGTCCTTCCTCCCAAATGCCAACAGTGAAGTTTTCTCCTTTATGTGTAGGCCAGGTGGTGGCTATGGGGCCCTGAGAATCCCAGAAAACATGAAACAGCTGGGTGATCACCTCAGGGTTATAGGTCATGGTCACCGGAGGCAAACAGGTGAAGGCCATTTGACCACAGAGGAAAACAGGCTAGGATAGGGCATGTTATCCAGTCCAGAGTTGTGTGTGTGCATTGTGCGAAGTTAAGGCCAACATTCATAGTTACAGGGCTTGAATAAAGGTTAACCAAGGCACGTAGGATTTCTCCTAATGACAATGAATCGTGTGTCATCCCAAGAGATAGAGGAAGAGCCAGACATGGATCCTAACAGTCCATTGTCTACCGTTTCATAGGCAGGGAGTGGGTGGTATAATGAAAGTAAATAAATGTTAGGCAACCCTGGAATGCTTCCAGCTCTCCCTTGCTGCATTCAGTAACAGATGACTGATCTAGTATTGTGACAGATTAGGAAACTGTCAATAAAAGAAGCCTAGAAGAATGGGTGACAATCTCCTGAAGGGATCCAAATATAAGATAAAATGTACTTCCTCCAAATGCCTCCCATGGTTTCCGATATTTCCTTATTGCTGGTGAGAGGCTTCTTTTGAGAATATCTGTAACATCTAGTCCAGCACAATCACCATAACAGGAAGCCAGGAGTACCTCCATCACCAACAATCTCCTTCTTCCATGGTCTCAGAGTAGTTCGACTACATTTTCTTACATCCAAGGGTGAAGACACCTAACACAGCGCCCACATGGCAAGGATACCATAACATCAAATGCAGGACAAAGGTATCAGTGCAATCTCAGTTTGATGGGTCACCACTAGCCAGCCTCACAGCACGAGCAGTGCCTTTGGGTTGGTGTCTGCCCATTCTTGGTACAGGGTATTGTACAGCCTTCTCAACTATCAAAGAGAACCAGAGTAGGGGAAAAAGTCCAGAGGTATGGAAAGGAATATCCAGGTTCAGTCTACCAATTTAAATGCTAATCTACCAATTTAAATGCACCATAGTTGTTCTATTCCAGTTTTTCCCCCATCCTGTAACTCCTGGATCCTTAACAGATGGCTTAGAGTAGATAAACCCTTGCAGGGTGTGCTGGGCAGAATTCTAAGATGGCACCTTGATTTCAGCCTGAGCAGAAAATCCAGCCATGCTGTGCCCAGAGTTCTGACACAAGAGAAACTGTGAGACAATGTGTTTTTATGGCCACAATGTTTGTGGTAAGTTTTTATGTAGCAAGAGAAAACTAACACAAAGGGGACAGATGTATTCAATATCAGTATAGAATTAGACAAGCGGCACTTGTCTGTGAGTAGAGTTTCAGAGTTCTCTTGCCTTCATAACACTGCAGGCAGTAAAAGGCATGGAAATATGTGTTAAGCTGCCTGGGCATGAAGAATGTTCCATTATCTGAGTGGATGTGTAGCTATCCCGGCAGTATACAGTAATCCCTATAATGCTTAAATTGAGTGTTGAAAAGTTCACTGCACAGCCAATGCTTGTTTTAACATCCAACTAATCAGACAACTCTAAGATGCTAGAGGGGCAATCAGCTAAGAATTCCTCAGGCCTCATCAGACTAACCAGTTTACCACTGCAATTTCAAAGTGAGAAGGTATAGTCTGGGTCCCATCATGCCCCGTGTCTGATAGGCTGTACCATCATCTAACATTCCTTCTGTCTTACACGTAAGAAATCCAATTGTACTTGTCTGTTAAGTAACTGCATGGAGGATCTCCTGTGCCTTTTTTTCACAAAACAATATTGGGGGTCACCGATCTTATTTCTTTTGACCCCTTAATCTAAAAGCCAAAAACATAGCATTATCATTATAAGAGGTGTCAGCTCACTTGGTCCCCCATAGAGTTACCTCCTTCACCTGGAGGTGGGAATGGGGAGTGTGATGGTTAATTTAATGTCTCAATTTTACTGGACCAAGGATGCACAGAATCTGGTTAAACATTATATCTGGGTATGTCTGTGAGGGTGTTTCCAGAAGAGATTAGCATTTAAATTGGTAGACTGAGTAAAGTAGATGGCCCTCCCTAATGTGAGTGGGCAAGATCCAATTAGCTGAGGGCCTGAATAGAACAAAAAGGTGGAGAAAGGTTGCTCTCTGCCTGACTATGGATGGAGCTGAGACACTGAGCTCCTGCCCTAGGTACTCCTGGTTCTCAGACATCAGACTTTGACTGAAACCTACACCATTGACTCGCTGGCTGTCAGAATTTCAAATGACACCATTGGCTTTTCTGGGTCTCCAACTTGTAGGTGCAGATCATGGGACTTCTCAGCCTCCATAATTGCTTGAGCGAATACCTTATCATATACAAACATTTTGGCCCACTTCTCTTAATTTGTATTTAAAAGTGTTAAGAAGAAAAAATATACATTTACATATATAGGGCTAAAGGGGTATTTTATCTGCAACTTAATCTCAAATGGTTTGAGAATAACAATACATATATTTTTTTCCTTAAGTTTTCTTAAGTTTGAGATTATTTCAAAATAAAAAAATTAGAATAAAAAGGAAGGAAAACAGGAAAGGAAGAAAGAAAGGCATGTACTCCAAGTAGAGTATTTCCATCTCCTTTTATTGAAGGAAATAAAACTTGTGCTGCAGAGGCAATGGTACCTCAGAGCATAACAAGATAGCCAATGGGGCTGACATGACAAGCCACAATGCTGGCCAGGGGTCCTATCATAGTGGATGGACCAAAACCACAAAAATAGCAGGAGGTAGCAAACATCCCCAACACCCAATGCAAGCATTTTCATTTGCAGAGAGCTTGGCCATGCATCATAAAAACAAGGTTCTCTCACAGCTGGCAGAATATCATCTCAAGCCACCAAATCCATCTAAAACATGTCATCTCTCAGATTTGGACATCCTTCCCTATGACTTGAAGGTTCAAGCCATCAGAAGATCTGAGTTAATCTTTCAGCTCTTTATCCCAGATAGAAAAAAGAGACTGAGTTCTTGACACATCACATAGGTATTAACTGGACAGGTGCTGATGTCCAGCCTTGTTCTAAAAGCAGCTTAATTTTCTTTTCTGAATTCTCACACTGCTCTCACCCAGCATATGCCCTAGGAAATTTATCAATGTTCTAAACAAAGACAGACTGGGTGCAGCAGCCTAGGGGATGTAGGGAGTCAAAAGCTGCTACATAGCCAAGACCATTTCACAAGAAATAGCATGGGGAAAACTACTGGGTCAAGACCCTCCCAAACAGTTGCTAGAAGCACAAAGAAAATGTGGTAGCTCTCTCTCCCATATCAGGATCAGCTGTGCCAAAGTCATGGTCCAGGAAGCTGAGGCATTTCACGTCCCTGGTAGATTATCAACCCCCATGGCATTCCTCAAGCTGTTCCAATTTTCAAGTACAATAAGGAGTTTGGGCAGTTTCGTCACTGAAAATCAAGCACTAAGGAAACTTCAACCAATTACAAATTGATGTTATAAAGGCAAAATTTTATATAGCCAAGAACTGATAAGCCAGGGGGTGAGGGGAATTGGTGTGTGGAGAAGATTCCGCTATGTAGAAACAGGAGTCCAAGAGTTTATTCATATAAACCCTTGATCATAAACCACCTTCACATCCACAAATTGGGAGGAAATTCCTTATTTAGGAATGGCCATCATTTGATTAGTCAGTTGCAGTTCTCTTCAATGCTGGACGCACGGTTTTTAAGAACTGAAGTCTTGAGAGTGCTAGACCAGGAAATGGGAGGAGCAAGGCGAGGAAGCGAGGGCACCAGGGGTTGGAATTTCTGAAATGAGCATTAATTTCACAGACGGCTTGGCACAATGAGGTTGGGGTAAGAGTGGTTTTAGTGATTGTTCTTGGTTGCCTCCTTTGCTGCGGCAATCAGTGGAGTGAGGCTGGAGAGGGGCTTGGCAATCTTCAGGAACTGATGCTAGGAAGAAAAAAAGAGCAAAAGATACATGACTGTTTACCATTCTTCCTCAGCAACCATTACAAGATGTTAAGTGCATCCACATTTGCTCAAGATGCTACCTAGAGAGCTCAGATGATCCCCAAAGACAACAAATCATTTTGGAAAACTGTTTAGCTATATCTACCTACAGCTAAACACATATTTGTCCTTTATCCCAGCAATTCCACTCCTAGGTATACTTCCAAGAGAAATGAGTTTGTGCATCCACAAAAAGACACATGGCAAGAATGTCCATAGCAGCTTTATTTATAATCGTCATAACTAACTAAAAAGAACCCAAATGTCCAAGATAATGGAAGAATAACATTATATTCATATAATACTATACAGCAATAACAAATAATAGTTGATATACTGACAACAGGATTAAAACCACAAACATTATGTTGAGTGAAAGAAGCCAGATACAAGAGAGTTCATATTATGTGATTCCATTTTATATTAGGTAAGACTAAACTACAGTGATAATCAGAATAATAATAATTATCGACCCAATGGTATATTGCAATACTGCATTTCAGGAGCATTGTTCTTGGAATTTGTTGTGCTACTGTTGAATCCAGTAAGGCTAATTAATCCAGTAAGGGTTAATTATTTGCACTGGGCTGTACTTTTGAGCCACATCCAAAACTATTAAAGAAGACTATTTTGTAGAAAACACCATATGAAAACTATATCTACATTTTCAGTAAAATTGTTATGGAAAACAATTCTTTATGTAACTCAGAACCTCTTAACCAAAACTGATTTTTCTTACATTTAGTTAGTGAAAAAGCTTTGTGTCTTGAGGATGTTGGGATGTTTCCTCCATTTGACACACAGAACCATCACATTTTCTTTTCTGTCCTGGCTACCAGGAAACTAAGAACCAAACTTTTTATATTTAAACATAACTATTTAACTCAAATGATTTGCATATTTGATTCTTTTGCCATCCTTATAAGACTCTTTTTAATCACACTGCATATGTGTATAGACACACACATAAACATATATATACACACATATTCTTTGCTAGAAGTTTATTAAACACTTGAAACCTCAGTTTCCTCTAGTGTAAAAATGGGAATAACAAAAGTTATAATTCACAGGGTTGTTATAAAGAATAGATAAAAAATATATAAAGTGCTTAGTGCCTAGAGAGTGGTAAAGATTCAATATAATGCATTTATTATTATTATATTACATCAGGAAGAAAACTCTAGAGGGCACTAATTTTTCCATAACTATAATTTAGTACCTAATTAACAATGATATCTTCACTAATCACAGGCTTAGCATAGTATCTGCACATTTCCCAATACCTAGAGTTTCCAGAACAAACCTCATATGAAAAGCAAAGGGATCCTATATTGTACTGTCTGTTATAAGGGGCTTTTAAAAAGTCCCGAAAGATTCTAGAGAGTAATAGATTGCACTTAGCAGAACCCAGATCTCATATATAATAGACCAGTGCTCTGTAGCCAGTAACCCCAATTACAAAGAAATGCTAAATAATGTTCCAGAAGGTAACATTTCAATGAAGGTAAATACTTTAAACAATTCCATTCAATTCAACAAATATTTTCTGAATACTATTCTGCATTAGGTATAAGAGGAGACCAGAGATTAATAAAATAGAAGTTATAATTTAGTCAGAAAGAGATGTTCATAGCTAACTTTAATTCAGGGCAGTCTGGAATGTCTGCTCTGCTCAGTTGCTCTTGGTTCTCATAACACGAAAGTAATTGACTGTGCATGCCTACAGATTAATCACTGTCACAAAGTTACATGCAATACTTATTATTAAGTCACCAGAGGCAATGTAGTAAAATAACACTAGTAATAAGAAATTGTACCTGAAACATAAATGTTAAATACAAATAATGTGGCCTGCTAAAGGTGGTTTTTGCAGCCATATGAAATAATTATGCTATATATTCAAGATTAAGCAAGTGGTAGTACAAAAGACTTGGTAAACCCCCAATTTTAGGCTTCCCCAAGCTTGGCAGAATATCATGGCCACCACCTGAGAGGGTGTCCAATGAAAAAACTGGAAAGATTTGAAAAGCTGCACTCACTAACTGTCCCTAAACTTATGTCCTCTGATATCCTTTACTGAAAATGTTATCTTTTGAGCTTATCTCGCAGTAAAATATAACTTGTCTAATATTTGCATGTCAGAAAGCTTCTTTGCCCCAAGATTCGAACTCTGCTAGGCTAAACCAGGCAGAACAAAACAACAGCTAAAGAAAGATACAGGCAAAGTTCACTGGGAGCTGAGAAAGTAGATTTTTAAGCAGAGCCTAGGAGAATGTATAATGAGTTTTAATAGGCTGAGGAAGAGCCTAAGAGATAACATGAGCAAATGGCCAGGATAAAGAAGGTTAGGAACCTAGGACTATAGGTTGAGTATGGAAAGTGGTATGAGAGAAGCCTCATTCTATAATAACCAGTACCTCACAGACAAAAAATGAAGCAAAAAAAACCCAATTCCACAAATTTGGTGCTTCCCTGCATAGGGACAGTTACCTGCAGCAGCTCTTTAGCTGAACCTCTCTTTTCCACATCCATCTCAAGTCTCGGAAGATAGCTGACAGCTTCTCTGGATTCTGAAGCTCTGGAGTCCCATTGGTGGCAATGAGGTACAAGGCCTGGCAACACAAATGGAGAATTACCTTAGGTTCCAACTGAGGTTCTCTCTTGGTCCCAGACATGCCCTCTAGAAATATGGTTATCTGCTTTATGCCTCTAGGAAAAAAGAGGCAGCTTTGGTATATACTGGAAATATATACCCAGGTATAAACCCAAGTATATACCCAAGGATCAGGTTTCACATTTAAAAGCCACGTGACCATGTGCAAGCCAGTGAATTTCCAACTTCCTAATCTGTAAAATGGGGATGATAATAGTGCTTATCTCACATGTCTGTAAAAAGAAAACAAGATAGTATATTGGAAAGCACTTTGTAAAGTTATGAATTGTGTTACATACCCAAAGTTTAGTATTATTCTTGATTACAGATCTACGGGGTTTATTATTCATTTAGCCTGACAGGTTAAACATCTGTCCATTTGCTGGAGGACATTATTCCTGGTGCCTTCGCCTCAGTTATCTAAGAATTGATTTCTTTCAGCGGGAGAGGAATATGAAAAGTGGTGTTCTATAAAGTAGCAACCTGTTTCGCTGTTGTCTCCCTGGTCCCCTAACATGAAGCATCTCCTGGGCAAGGTAAAGAAAAACAGAGTAATACTAAAGCTTCCAAGCACTCGGCACTTCAATTCACTAAGTGCTTACAAAACCACTATCTCATTAAGACCGCAATAACTCTGGATAATGGGCAGGACAAGAATCGTCATCTCCATTTCACAGATAAAGTCCAGAAACATAAAAAGATATACCTGGCATCACGCTGTTCATAAGCGCTCATGTCCTCTGACTCAAATCCCAGTCTTATTTCCATCACTCCCTACTGATCATCATTTTCAAGGCCATGCTAAACTAAGGGAAAGATGAGTAGTATGTGGATTCAGAGAGCAAAACTGGGACCAAAGAGTAGAAACTACAAAAGGTAGTTTCAGTTTGGTACACTGACGTGCTTTCCAATAAGAGGTATCCAAATAAGATTAGATGGCCACCTATCAGCAACAACACACGGGATTCCTGCATGGATGGGAGATTGGAATAAATGAAAAAAATAAAACCAATCAGAATAACTTTCACATTTACCCATGACCAAAATTACCAACTGACTTGCATCTGTATTTACATACTCTGCTTTCCCTCTCCTATTACAATGGATAAACTGTCCATACACTAAAATAACGCTCTTTACTTCAGTACTTGATCCAACTCATCTCATCTATTTAAGAATGTCACTCCTACATGTGACCATTTTCTTCCTCTCCACTAGGTCATTCCCAAGAGCACACAAATATACTACAATACCTTAAAAAAAAACAACCCTCCCTCAACTCCACTTCACGATATTGCTATTTCTCTGTTCTCTTAATGGTAAAACTCCTTAAAAAGTAGCTGTTCATACATGCCATCTCAACTTCACCTGCTCTTGTGAATTTACTCTAATTAGGCTTTTATTCCTATTACTCTACTGATACTGATTATCGAGGTCATTAATAACCTTGACCTTGGCAAATCTGATATTTCTCAGTCTTATAATACACAACCTATCAATCACATGTGATACATCATCCTCAAAACACTGTTCTCTTGGCCTGCAAGACATGCATTTCTCAGTTCTCCGCCTACTCAGAAGGCAACTCTTTGGTCTGCATTGCTAGTTTCTCCAACCCGTAAATATAAGATTACCTGAGGGCTCAGTACTCACACCTCACTCCCTAGATGAGGGACCCCATCTATAACTTAGTTCTTATTTTTAAATAAGCCATCTATATGCTACTTACCAATAAATTTATATATATAGTCCTGACCTCTTACCCTTGAATTCTGGACTCATGCCCAACTCTACTCAATATCTACACCTGAATGTTTAAATAAACATTTCAAATTAATACATTCGAAACCAACTATCATCCCACTTTACCTGCTCTTCAACCTTCTCAGTAAACGGTGACTCAATTTTTTTCTGTGATTGAGTTCCAAAATCTTGTACTTATTGTTGATTTCTCTTTCTCTGAAATCTAATTCATCTTGTCAGTGATGGCCATGATGCCCAGGGACCAGATATCAACCTTGGGCCCAGTTTAAGATATTTCCTGAGTCCAAGCACTCTTTACTTCTATTCCTACCAATATATTGCAAGCCATCACTCTTATCTCAATGATTACAACAGTTATCTCATAGTCTATTTTCCATAAAAGCAGCCAAAATGATTCTTTTACAACATAAATCAGATTATGTTACGCCTCAGCTCAAAAATTCAATGACTTCCAATCTCTTGCAAGTTCTCATAATGGCCACAAGGTCTTAGCTGATCTGGCTCCCTGCTATTTCTGTGACCTCGTCTACCATTCTCCACCCTGCTCACTCACTTCAGAGATTCTGGCCTCCTTGGTTTTCCTTGCACACAACAAGCATGTCCTCAAATCAAGTGCTCAGTACATTTGATTCCTAGAAAACTCTTGGGTTAATCTCATGGCTTCCTCCTTTATGTTCTTCAGGTTTTCATACAAATAACTTATAAGAGAGGACTTCCCTGCCCTAAATAAAATAGCATGCTTCTCCCTCTTTCCCCAATTACTCTCTTAAACTCCTCTTCTTCATAGCATTTACCTTCTGTCGCAATATATTAATTTGTTCTACTATCACTAGAATAGTTTCTTACACATGATAGGAACTCAATTGTTGAATGTTATAAATGAATGCATGACTTAATATTCCTTTTCTTTGGAAATTTATACTTAAATTCAGCAGTGCCTAGTTTTATCCAGAAAAGAGAGATCCTGGTTGAAAGCCACAGAGAACAGCCTGAGTACCATTCCCTGGGACTATCAACAACAGCCCAAACATCTTGAAATTGGACTAGTAACACTCACTCTCAGAGGGTTTTCATTGAGGTATGGGGGCTCCCCTTCAATCATTTCGATGGCCATGATGCCCAGGGACCAGATATCAACCTTGGGCCCATAGGCCTTCCGCGTCACAACCTCTGGCGCCATCCAGTATGGGGTTCCCACCATGGTGCTCCGTTTGCTCTGCTCTGGGGTGATCTGTGCACAGAATCCAAAATCAGCTAGAAAAAGTAAAGAGAAGAAGGAAAAGATTTATATTTATGGGACTCCTTCCATGAGTACTGACTGTGTGCCTACCCTAGGTGTCAAGCTCTGTCTCACTCCCACCTGCTGCAATCCCTGTCTCTCCAAAGCTGGAGTTGCATAACTGCCACCTTCATGTCCAGCGCTTGGTCTGCCCCTGATCAACCATGAAGAGAAGTAAAAGGAATGTAAGAAATATCACCTCTGGTCTCTTATCCCTCTTCAAGCCAGAAGGATTAGTCATTAAAGTCCAAGCTGCCCATTGATTACTTGTCCCAATTCTTCTTTCTTCTTGTAAACCATTCTCATACCCCAAAATCTGGCAACTAGGTCCTTGCTTTATTTCCCAGGCATGAGTTCCAGGCTTAAACACTAATCACCTAAAATGAGGTGTGGCCCTGCTTTTATCAGTTCCTCATGCTGTGCTCAGGATAAAGAGTGCTGACAGTCTTCCCATAAACTGCCAATCCACCTATGACACTGGTCCCTACAGTTTTGAACAAAATGTTCTGCCTGCAGCTCATTTATATTATATTGCAATTATGTTTATTGAAATTATGAAGCCTTTGATAGTAAGGACTATGTCTTCTTATTCACTTTTTTATTCCCAGAGGCACGTAATAGACATTTAATAAAAGAATGCTGAATAAAAGACTGAATGACAGAAATTACACTAAATTCTTTTTTGTAATTATGTATTTCATGTCTAGTATATTAGACTGAGAACTACTTGAAGACAGGCAAAAGTATCCTCAGTGCCCATCAGAAGACCTAGCACGCAGTGGGCCTTCAGTAAATTTTTTTGGCTGAATGTATAAATTAATGAAAAAAAAAGACACCCTAAATAATGCTGAGTAATATAAAGATCCCACATATCTCAGGAAACAAACAAACACTCTCTAGTGAGTCCTCTAGATACTATTATATGAATACCATCCCACAGGAGACAGGGTCCCACAGGGTAGAGAGTATTCTCACTCCTACTCACTTAGCTTGACAGAGCCATCCATTCCCAACAGGATGTTGTCGCTCTTGATGTCTCTGTGAATGACCTGGTTGGAATGCAGGAACTCCAAAGCCTGTAGGCACTGTTGAAGTGGTGTGGGCAGAGGTAGAAACAAATGACATATAATACGAAGACTAATAGAAGATAAACTAATCCAACCTCCTCATTCTATGATAAAGAAAGTGAGGCTCCAATGAGTAAAATGACTTGCTCCAAATCAGTGGCACAGATAGGTCTAGACTCTAGTCTTCTGTCTCCAGGCTAAGCATTCTTTCAACACTCCACACTGCCTTATACCTTTCTTATATCTTATTTCTTATACTTCATTATAATATACCTTATAACAGTTTTAAGTACATGCGTTCCTCCAATATATTTTGGAGTCTTTTATAGATCATTAGATACTTGTCAAAGAACCTGAGTCCCAAGAAAAACTACTTTGGAAGAATGGAAAGGATTCTATAATATTAAAACTAGGGGAAAGTGACAAGTAAGAGTCATATTTGGGAAACTAGGCACATGAAAGTGCTATCAGAAGCAGTGAAGTTAGAAGGATAATTTTATTTTGGTGAGGAGATAATTTATACTGTTTAGGGAATGCTTAATTTTATATACTTGTGAACATTTACAGACAAATGTCCACTAAGCTACTGAACATGTGAGTCTTAAAGTTCTTGACAGAGGCCTGGACTTGAGATAAATATTTACCACTCATTTTTGAAGAGGTGATTTATTTTTTTAAGTTATATAAGTGCTTGGAACTAGCAAATGTTATAGAAAATAAGAGAAAGAACGAACCTTGGAAAACACCTATACTTAGCAGCAAAATGAGTAACACAGAGACTGAATGGAACAATGAAAGTGCCTAGTTCTGCCACTGCCTGACAGACAAAATCATTCTAGACAAATCATTTATTCTCTCTGGGTTATTGTTTTCCCATCTGTAAAATGTAGGGATAAGAAAAGATAACCTCAGGTTTGCTACTAAATCTACTAGTTTAAATCCAGAACCCAAAGCTAAAATTTTAGAAGCTTCTACCAACTGAAAAATACTAAAGATGCAAACCAATTAGAATATACTATTTACATGTTCTCAAAAAATATATTTCAAAAAATATATATACAAATAGTTAAATTAAGAACGAACCAATACCCAGAAGAAGCTCTTATCTATAAGAGTTGCTTTCCTTAGGAGGCTGGAGACCCTGGCCCCTGGATGTCAAAAAATATGATCAAAAAGGATGATTTTGAAAAACTGGAACCCTCATACACTAACAGAAATACAAAATGGTACAGCTGCTTTGGAAAACAGTTTGTCCTTTTCTCAAAATGTTAATCCTAGAGTTGCTATATGATTAGAAGTTCCACTCCAAGAGAAATGAAAACATACATCTAAACCAAAAACTCATACATGAATGTTCACAGCATTAATCATAATAGCCTAAAAATAGAAATAACCCAAATATCCATCAATTAATGAAGAGATAAATGGAATCTGATTTGCTAATAAGAGAAATAAACTACTGCTATATGCTATAACAAGGATAAATCTTCAAACTATTACGCTAAGCAAAAAAAGCCAGTCACAAACAAGCAAATATCATATGATTCCATTTATATGAAATGTCCAAAAGAAGCAAATCTATAGAGACATATAGATTAGTGATTGCATAGGTAGATGGTCAGAAAGAGAGGTATGTGGGGAGTGGCTGCTAATGGCTATGGAGTTTCTTTCTGAGGGTGATAAAAAGATTCTAAAATTGATTGTGGTGGTGATTGTACAACTCAATATACTAAAAACAATGAAATTATAAACTTTGGGTGAATTGAAATTTGAAATTCAAATTATGGTTTCTACTGAATGCATACTGCTTTCGTATTATCATAAAGTCAAAACATCATAAATAGGGCCATCATTAAGTCAGGAACTGTCTGTACGTTAAATGGGTAAATCATATGGTATATGAATTATATCTCAATAAAGATACCCTTACAAAAGGGGAAGATCTCTACCAGAATTTAAGGATAATGGTAATGCCACGTATTTATGTAACATTTAAAATTTCTTTAAAATGCTTTTTGATCCGTATAGCACCCCTAAGGTATATACAGTGTGAGCGCTGAAATTCCCATTATAAAGATAAATAATTTGAGGCAAATTGATTTCCCCAAGTATACATGCATGTATGCTCAACCAGTAAAAGTCAGTTCCCAGAGTGTGAAAAATATCTTAGATATTATGATGGTTTGTGGCTTTCCAGAAGGCCACAGTACATGAACAGATATACAGTATAGTTAATCTATAGTATTAAAATTTCATGGGGAGAATATAATTAGAGAAAAAAAGTCTTCAAAATATCTTTGGGGATGGGAAAAGATAATGAAAAAAAAGTTGAGAAACACTTCATTAGTGGTACGGAAAAAAATAAAAGTCAGATTGTCTAAGAATCCCAAGCTTGTATTAATTCTATTAACCTACTGTGCCTATTCCAGACCCCAGAGTATTTAATGCAAAAGTGATCAGATTTTCTAGGACAGTATTGATTTCATATGGATTTTATGATTTTTAATACTGATTAAGTCTAAGTACACAACTATATAATTTCATCTGTATGCCTCCAGATCTTGCACCATCAAACCCCAATCATACTGTGAGACTCATCCCTAAAAAAACTCTGAACCTAAAGTAATCTCTCTTTCCCCAATTCCCAAATCTTTCTATGACTGGGCTATCAGAAAGTTCCAGTCTCATATTAGCAAAACATCCAATATCCTTAACTTCTCTGAATATTCTTTTCATTCTCTTGCTCTAAAGAAAACATGGCTATCCTCTGAGGATATTGCTTCTCATATAACTCTTGTGGAGGGTTTTTTCCCCTTCTTATACCAGCATGTTACAGACCTTAGACATTCAATAGCAATGAGAAAAAAGGAAAGTACCTATTTAAGCTTTGTTTTCTATTCCTTTTGCCTGGAAGTATTTCACCCTAGATTTTTGCTTCTCTTGCTTTTTTGTATCATTCAAATCTTTATACAAATCTATGCGAAACCTTCCTTGATGACTCTTAAATAGTACTACTACTTTCACTACCTTCCTCCTCTTCTTCATAGGAAACTTCATAGCATATGAAGAAAGCAGGAACATAAAATATATAATTAAAATGTATATCCATATAAAAGATGAAGAAAAATATTACAAAGTGTTGACAGCAGTTATCTTTAAGGGCTGGAATTATGAGTGACTTTATATATATATTTGGTACTTTTTAATTTTTCTACAATGGATATATGATTTTATAATCAGAATAAAGTTATCTTTAAAGAAAAAATCATGGTGATAGAAATTTCAAAACAGGTATAATAAGAGAATGATGGGAGAGTCTAACTAATTTCTCTCATCTCCACAGTGCCCAGGCTGAGATCTCATCTTATAGAACTTTGACAGACATGGATGTGAAGGCCATTTCCTGCTCAAGGCTGGTTGGCCATTGATCTTACCTCACGGCACACAGCTGCAATCTGGCCTTCATCCATACAGGTTTCCGTCACCACATCTGTCAAAGAGCCTCCAGCCAAGTATTCCATGACAACCCACAGCTCATCTCCCACAAGGTAACTGTAGGAGTACAGACAAAGGTTGAGTACAAAGGAGAAGCGTACATGAGCCACAGCACTGGATTTCAAACACTAAGCATAACACAGAATGAACCTACATTTCCATTAGCATTGGAAGAGTCTAGGGTTCTTTTTTCTGGGTAAAAGCAGAATCTGGGGGACAGAATTACTAACTTGATATCTCTTAAGGATTCACCTGGAGAAAATGAAACAGACTTCTCTGTGAACTCCCAAAAGGCAGAACTAAAGATCTCTAGGGTGAAGATATGAAATATAAAGTTATATTACATCACAATACAAAGTAATGCTTCCTAAAATTAGGGATGATTCCTACACCTCTAGAATCATCAAAGCAGAGAACACCCAACCATTTGACAAAGATGGGATTTGGAGTCTATGTTACCAATGTTAGAGAAAGTTACTAAACCTCCCTGAGAGTTCTACTGAGATCCATAAGACCAATTACTGGGTCTAGTTCAAGACTCTATCAGAGCCCAGAACAGTAAGTGCCAATATTTACTAAATAAATCAATGAGTAAAATAAAAGATAACTATAAATATTAAATAATGATTCTAAAAGCTATTTAAAAGTTGTAAAGTGTTATACGCATAGTCAATATGCTGACAATAATCTCCATTTTGAGTGTCTCTGATTCTACGAATGGAATGAATCCAGCAAGGGGTGCCAAAACCTCTTGTGTAAAGCCAAGGGCTGTCATTTAGTATTACATCCCTAAAGAGATTATGGGGCTGACATGAGTTAGAACAAATAGTTTCACTCAGGGATTGATTACTCAGTCTGTTATATGATAAATAGGTCACTTAGCATTTCTGGTTAGTATCCTCAGCTATAAACAAATAAAAGATAAGACAAATAAAAACAAGGATAGCCCAGAGCCTTTTAGACTCTTCTGCTACTTTAAACAAAGAAGCTATGAGCTGTGTGGTATGGCACCTTATATTCATCCTGATATTGGGACTACTGCAGGGTAGATAGAAAAACACAAATGGTCTCAAGAAAGGGTAAGATTTGGGTCTTATTCTCTTGACTATAAATCTGGTACTCCCTCCACAAAATTCTGTATTCTACACAATTAAAAGTCTTGTACTTTTTAAAATTTCCACACAAAAAAAATATGACAAATTAATTCTTTCTTTAAGAGTCTCTTTTGCAGCCACTATGGAAACCAGTATAGAGGTTCCTCAAAAGATTAAAAATAGAACTACCATATGACACAGCAATTCCACTTCTGGGTATTTAAAGAAAACCAAAACACTAACTTGAAAAGATATATGCACCCCTATGTTCACTGCAGCATTATTTACAATAGCCAAGATATGGAAGCAACCTAAATGCCCATCAACAGACAACTGGATAAATTATGGTGCATATACACAATGGATTATTACTCAGCCATAAAAAAAAAAAAAAAGAATGAAATCTTACCATATATGACAGCATGGATGGACCTGGAAGGTATTATGCTAAGTGAAATAAGTCAGACAGAGAAAGACAAATACCACATGATCTCACTTATATCTAAAGAACAAAATAAACAAAGAAACGAAACAGAAACAGAATCATAGATGCAGGAAACAGGCTGATGGTTACCACATGGGAAGAGGTTTAGGGAGGGTGAAAAAGGTAAAGGGATTAAGAAATACAAATTGGTAGCATTTGGGGATATAAAGTAAAGCATAGGGAATATAGTCAATAATATGGTAATAACTATGTATAGTGTCAAATGGGTACCAGACTAGTCAGGGGGATCACTTCATAAATTATATAAATGTCTAACCACTATACTGTATACCTGAAACTAATAAAATAATATTGAATGTCAACTGTAATTGAAAAATCAGAAAAGGGAGGGAAAAGGTAGAGGATAATAAGAAGTTCAAATTTCCAGGTATTAAACAAGTAAGTCGCAAGGATGAGGCGTACAGCATAGGAAATATAGTCAATAATACTGTAATAGTGTTGTAAGGTGTCAGATAGTTGGGGGACATATCACAGTGATCACTTCTTTAGGTATATAAATGTTGAATAACTATGGCATATACCTGTAACTAATACAATATTGTATTTAGCTATATTTTAATTAAAATCTTTTTCAAAATCTCCTTGGAGGGAAAAGATTATGGAGACTTGGACCAAAAGAAAATTCAGGACTAGATAAAAAGCCCTTCTCTGGCATAAGCCTATTTCTTCCCTGACCAAAATAAAAAACAAACCCACATTTATGGCCTCTCAATCAACACATCAAGACATCTGTCAACTTGGACTGATGCAAAGAAGAAATATGAGGGTCCAAGAGACTATCTCTGGACACTGACAAAGCAAACCCCATTTACCTGAATAGAATATGTCACTGCCAGAGCTAAGAAATACAAGTCCATATGCAGGTTGTCTCACACACTTTATGGCTACACACTGTGCCAAAGTATCTTCAAAAACCACATCTCCAGGTAAAGCCTCAGAGCACCATGTATTCAGAGAAAAACAAATGGATGGAGTTCTCCTCTGGGACAACTCACAAACCCACAGACTCTCAACTGCAATGCCTTCACTGAATGCTCAGGTTAAGACCACCCACTCTGTCTTCCCACAAGAGCTCTCACATCCTTTTTTTCTACAGCAGACTAGGAGCTATTTGAGGGCAGGGACTGAGCTTTATTTACTTCTGATTCCATAGTTTAAGCTTCTGAATATACTAGCAAAGGCATAATCAATATAAAAATTTATAAATCTTCTAATTCCACTCCCAGAATACAAATTCTTTCAACAACATGGTCATGCATTTTACTGTTTTGAAACCCAGTGATGAAGAACTCATTATTTTATGAGCTAAGCCACAGATAGAAGTTAATAAATAGTCCAAGCTTTCATTTTTCCTTATCCCGAGTCCCTTATAGATATAAATCTGGTACCCTTATAGCCTTCAGTAGTTTGTCCAAGCTATATTCTCTGTATAATAAGTTCTTAAAAGAGATGGTAATAAATTTCTGAGGATTCCTCAGAGTCAGTCATGACCCACATCACAGACAATCAACACCCAAAAGGAGAAGGCTTTTATTTTTTCCTACAGCTATCAACACCAGTGTTGGGAAGGTCAAAGTCAAAACTCCTTTCCTCTTTAAAGAAACTGAAGCTTACCAATGTTTTGGATGCAGAACAAGAAATCTGGCAGAAACGAAATCTAGTTGGCAATGCAATATAAGTAGTAAAGGAATTAGAGTCCAAAACTTAGTCCAATATCACTTCTCCCTGGGATGTCTCTGAAACCTGGTCAAGAAGCTTTCTTTTTTAGATATTGGAGAAAACATGATATGATGGAAAGGGCATGGATGTTGGTGCTAGGAAGAGTTGAATCCAAAACCCTCCTTTGCTCCTTACTGGCTTACTGGTCTTGGACTATTTATTAACTTCTATCAACCTCAGTTTCTTTATCTGTTCAATATAAATAATAAACCTTACTTCAGAATGAGATACTGTTCACGAAAGCACTTAATACAAAGTAAAGCATAACGCAAATGCTAGCTACGACCACCATTATTATGCTGAATAACAGAATTGTGATGGGCTGGAACAATGGGTTGAAATAATCAATATGGGATTTAATGAAAACAACTATAAAGTCCCACTATACCATTTTAAGGCAAACTCATGTAAAAAAATAAAAAAGGATCAGAGATTTTAACTGACTACAAATTTACTAGGGGTCAACAATGAAACAGGTCTCCTGAAAAAAGAAAAGAAAAAAAAACAATGAATGAAATCAGAATGAATGAGAAGTTTAGAACAAAGAAGTCCCATTCTCTCTATACTTTGGTCAAATCTTAAATTAAAATACTGAATGTCACATTGTTGGAGAATACAAACTAGAAGTAATTTAGGAGGGTAAACAGGAGGAAGAAAGATTTTGGATGCAGAATGATTTAAAAACCTGTGTATCTGACTCAGGCAGATGGGCTGAAGGGTTTCCTTGAGGCAAAACAAACAGTACGAAGATCAGCTGTTAGAAGCTACTAAGTGGTAGGATCAGCCTAATCCAGAAAGATTGTGCAGCAATCAAAGGTGTCCAGCAGTATGCAGGGTCAGAGGCAGAGAGCTAAGCATCATAGAAGATTCTTAAATGCAGGCAGTTCTGAGCGCTGGTGTTGACTTCTTTGACAGCTTCGCCACCCATCAGTCCCAAAGGCCCTGTCTCTCTGATAAGACCTATCACTCCATACCTGTCCAAATAGTTCACAATATTTGGGTTCTTATTTTCCCTCATGACCAGGATCTCATTAATAATCAGCTCTTTCTTCGGCTGCTGCTGAAGGTTCATCTGCTTAATGGCCACCTGAAATCAAAGTACATTCAATATGCAACCAGAGTCACTCGACATTTATTGAGCATCTACTAAGCACCAGAACTTAAATACTAAGGAGACAGAGGTGAATAAGATACAGTCTTACCCTTGAGGAATTCAAAATTTATTATCATAGACCAGTGGTACTCAATGTGAGGTCTCCAGACAAGCACTATCAACATCATCTGGGAACTTGTTAGAAATGAAAATTTTAAGCCGAACCCAGACCTACTGAATCAGAAACTCTCTGTTTTAATAAACTCTCCAGATGATCCTGATGTGCACCAAAGTTTGAGAACCAAACTTGCTACTAAATAAAATATATTAGAAAAATACTTTTAAAAAATCACAATATAAAAGAGGTATGCTATAACAAAAGTCTATATGAAGTGCTACAGAAACACAAATTAGGGGAAGAACTCTTTTAACTGGCAATGTAGAGAGGCTTCATAAAGGTAGAGATGACTTTTTGAACTTGGTATGGAATGATAAATCAGAGTTGACCAGGTTAAGAGAGAAGAGAAAAAGGGAATAAGATTCCCTTATAATATTTATATATAAAAAAGATCTTGGTAGGATTTTTGTCTATAGAAATAAATGAATTTCCACATAACACAAATATAAGGTATATGTTAGTTTCCAGGGCACTTTTGCATCCATTTCTTCTGTGTGTCAAGTACTATGTAAGATATTCTCAAGTTTATTTCATTTAATCCTCAGAGATAGCCTGAGTTAAGCATTACTACTGAGCCCTTTTGACAGATAAAGAAATTGTGATTCAGGATATGTGACTTGCATTCATAGCTACTCAGTTAGTTAGATAAGAACCTTCAAAAGTGATTCCAATTTATCCTGCACACATGATCAGATTAATCTTCCCTCATAGTACAAATTTAATAACACTTCCCCGTGCTAAAAATCATAGATAGTTCCTGTTTGCCTAGAGATGTTCCTCAGTACAACATTCAAAGTTCTCATGATCTGACCACATCTTACTTCCCACTGTATTCCTTCATGTACGCCATGATCTGAGCGTCTCTCCATTTGGAACATCTGGCATCATTTTCACATATTCAAAAAGCTCCTTATACTTTATGTCAGGCTAAAATAAACTTCATTCTTCAAATAAGATAGCCTTTTCCCTTCTTTAATGCCCCCATAAGATCATACTTATACTTCTTGTATGAAACTTACCACATTTTGCCTTGCATGATGATTAGTTAGGGTATGTATGTCTAGAAGCTTGAGTTCATTTGAAAGCTCTGAATCCCCTGGTGTCAAGCACAGGGCCTGACACACAGTGGGTGCTCAACAAATGTTTGTGGAAATGAAGAAGGAAAGAGAGAATTCAATGAGCTGATAAGTACTTTATTTTTAAACCACAAAATGCATTAGCAATAGGCGATTCTAACCGTTGGAGTAGACTTTAAATTGTTTGATGAACATTTATTCCATAGAGACATTTTCTCTTTTTCTGCTTAACAGACAAGAACATGTCCACTTAATAGAACAACTTAGTCTCTCCAGAAGTAGCAAGAACTGTAAAGGATGAATAATTCAAATTTTTATGGGAAAAAAGCCCTGGCTCTATTATTTCTTCAAGTTAAGTCCAGACAGTTTTCTTCAGAGATCTAGTTAATCAATTAGAAATGATTCTTTTAAACATTTTGACCACATCCATTCCCCTACCCCAAGTGAGAAAAAATTGCTTTGGAGTGGGGTCTCCTATCAGGTTAGGCTTCTGGTCTGGTTGTAGCTTTCTATTAACTGTTGATGATTAGCTTTTTCTAATGGCTAAAGGGCAACACATTGATCTAAAGACATTACATTAAGTATAGCAAGCCCTTATGACACATGTTAAGATCTGGAGCCAAAGGAGTTCCTTTGGAGTTCCCTAGGTCATCCTGGAGGATAAAACGATGCTTATGAACCTCACAGAGGTCACTGCTAGCAACAAAGAGAAGAGAGGTAGGCAGAAAATAACATAGAGGCAGTGGCAGAACACTAGAGGTCCTTTTCAATAGCTACTAACTATGGCCTAGGTTAAGTGTCCTTCACCTAATCAGATCCCTCCCATTAGGGCCAGCAGATAGCATTCCTGTAACAGAAAAAGAACTGGACTTGAACTCTGAGGACCTAACCTCTGGGACTGACTCTGCAACTTACTGACCTTCACCAATCACAAACTCTCTAAGCCTCAGTCTCTTCATACACTGAGGATAATAATATTAACCCTAATTCCCTTCCTCACAAGATTATTTTGAGGCCTAAATGAGATAGTGGCCAATGTGTTACATATAAAAAGAAATTTAAATAATAAAGTAAGGCAACAATGAAAAATGCTAATCACGGTAATAACTGCATTTCATGAGTACCTGGCACAGAGCAAGAATAACAACATTAGCTGGAACAAGAGCAAAAACCAAGCACCCTCTACCACTGTTTACTGAATGCCTACTGTGTGCTAGGTGCTGCGTTTGGTGCTCTACCTACATTAGTTCAATAAAACCTAACAACAACCCTGCCAAGTAAATATCATTATCTGCATTTTCAGTTTAAGAAATTAAGACTTTAGACTTAAAAGAAAATCACTCAAGGTCATAATCAATGCTCACAAGTCCATATGACTCCAAAGCCTCTTCCAGTATTCTTTCTATTACACATATTCCTTCTAAAAATGCACTTGAAATAATTATTGGATCTGTAACTAGAAAACTCCCCAGCACTAATATGCTAACCTTCCTATATCTGACAGACAATAGCTCTGTCTACCCGCTAGATAAACCCCAATAAGCACTCACTCACAAAGACTGAGAGCATCTGGCCAGCTCCACTAAAGATTTATACACCCTAGGGCAGGAAATGAGGCCTTCCTGACCACACTGCATTAGCTGCCCTAATGGACTCATTTCCATTCATAGTTTTGCAACCACAAGGCAGGTACATCTTGAAGTCAAGTTTCTGTTTCCTATAGTGAGCTTCTCACACATGCAGCCTCTAGGCCTTCAAGGAACTGCCTATCACCAGCCTACTTCACATCAAGGGCTGTAGGGCCCCAGAGACCAGAAACATGACAACAAGCCTTAGTGCCTAACCCGAGCTCTGCTGTGGCCTTGAAGCCCAGAAAGCAAAGGTTTAGGTTTTAGAATCAAAAGTTTCTAACCCAGTCCTTGCTAATTGTACAAACCTGCAAAAGTTATTTAAACTCCCTAAGCTTCAAATTTCTCATCAGTAAAAAGGACAAAATATTACCTACCTAATGGGGTTCTTTTTAGGATCAGTATAACCTCCTCTTTTCTATCTCTGCCTCCAATTCACCACGTTTTAAATTGGCACAATGATATCATCCTTCCTTCCTCACCATTATTTTAACACAGCTTCCTGTCAGCACTACAGGACTTCTATAATTACAGAATGGAAAGTAAGGTCTCTTACATTATATATGATTTTAATGTTTGAGTGCCTTCATGGGACTGAATCTTTCACATAGTTCTTATTCTTAGCATAAGGTGTAGCATAAAGCAAAAGTTCAGTGAATGTTGTGTAGAATAAATAAATATGTACATATATAAACTAAATATGTAATTCTTAAAGTTTATGATGTATTTTCATATGCATTGCTCTACTGAATTCTTTCAACACTTTTGTGAGGTATATGCTATCATGCACATTTTATAAATAAAGAAAATTCAGGCTCACAGAGGTCTAATGAGTTGCCTAAGGTTATAAATAGGTCACTAAAGGTAAACATTTAGGTTGTTAGATTCTGACCTCAAAGAACAATTAATAAATCCTTAATCAGAATGATTTTTTACAAAGTAGACTTCCTTTTGATGGAGCCGCAATATTTGGCTTAGGTTCTCATAAAAGACTCACAAGAGCACAGTGAGATATGTTCTGTCCCTATTAGCCATAACTTCTCCAGTGTACCAGAGGGTTTCAACCACCAAAAACACATGAGCAGGTCCTAGTAGCCTTCCTCAGAGCAGCCCAACTCTTACCTTCATTAGAATAGGAGGTACCTCTCTTAACCTCTGAGCCCCAGCACTCTGAATTATGAACTTCCCCAGGCAGCTTCCATCCACAATCCACCTGCCAACATTCCTGCTTTGCAACAAAATTGTAGAATGCAAGGGAACCCTGGATACTCTACATTCCTTTCATGGCTTCCTTCTGCTAAAGGTAAGATTTTGGGTCAGTGAGTGGGTCTTGGCAGTAAGGCGAGTGCTTCCAGCTTAATGAAATAAGAAAAACAAAGAGGTGCCTCCAAATGAGGACTTCAATGTCTACTGGAATCCTAGACACAGAGTAATGGGAGAATAACTAGATTAGGAGTCAAGACACATGTTTAAATCTCTTCTACATCAGATTTCTCTCTCAAGCACCAAACTTTTATAAATAATTGTTCAGTAGGCAGTTCTACAAGAAGGTCTCTCAAGCAGCATTCAATTTCTTCAAACTCATATACCTCCACCTTTTTTCTTTCTCCTTGACTAATATCACTCACTTGTGAGTTGTCCTCACATTCAGTTAATCACCAAATTCTATCAAAATTTACCTAAGTACCTCTCAAATCCATCCACATCTCTCCATTTATACTATGCTACCACCTTGGTCCAAACCATCACCTCCCACCCAGAGTTACACAATAACCTCTTAACTCCCCTGTTCCACTTTTATCTTCTCCAACCTGTTCTCCATATGATAGACACTGTGACTTTTTCCAAAATCAGTGACTCCTATGTTTAGTTCTAGTTTGCTATAGCAAGAAACCAAAAAGTAAAAACAAAACAAAACAAAACAAAAACAGTATAGCTGACAGAGCAATAGTTGGTGGTAGGTACTCACCTCTTGTCCTGTAGCCACATCCATTGCAGTGTACACAGTGCCTGAAGCACTGAACAACAGGTGTAGGAGAGAAGGGGGAAAAACAGATGATAAATTAAGTGATATCTTTCAAATGCAGCTCTACAAACAATCTGGTAATGTGAGTGTTAATGATAGCAGCAAAAATAATCCTCCCCACTGCCTGGTCACTTTCTCATACATGAGAGACAGTACATGGTAAAGAGAATACAGGCTTTAGTAGCCAAAAGACCTGAGTTCCAACCCAGAATTTCTACCTATTACCTACTAATTATATAATCTTGAGCAATTTATTCTTTGAGCTTCACTTTCCTCATTTGCAAAGTAAAGATAAGAGATAAGAGTGCATAACAGCGGATGGGGAGGTGGCAGCGGGGTGGTGGTGGCCTTTGAGGCAAACTGGGGGTGCGGATCAGTGCATCTCCCTTCCTTCCAGAGGCTTATCCAACCAGAGGAGATGTGGCCTTACCAGAATCCATCATAGAATTTCTCTCTGCTGTCTCTGATCCTGAGGGCCAAATGTCTCAAGAAGGTAGACACAAAAGACAGCAAAGAAGCCTGCCTAGCTGCCAGCTTTGCCTGGGCTTTTTATTATGTTGGCATTTTTACCAACATAATAAAACTGATAGAGGGGAGGCATGCCCAACTTCTACTGCTTCTTCCCTGAGCAAGCCCATTCTGACTTGTGCACAGGAGAGAAGGATGTGGTGAATGAGGCTGTAAGAGCTTCTCTACTGGACATTCTTCTTAAATTGGAGAAACTCCCCCTTTCTTTAAGAACCTCAAGATTTCATAAACCTGAGCCTTAAATATTAGGTTGCATTTGCTGGTCTGGCCTTTGCTTCCTTCTACCTGGCAGGGAATTTACATTGCTTCACACCACAAGGCCACAGGAAATCTTAGAGGTTCTGTGCCTTTCTGTCACCTCTACTTTTTGCTGCTGTGATTGCACCGTCCTGCACCTTTGACTACAAGCATCACTGGCAAGATGTACTAGCTAGATCTATGATTAGCCTGACATTTGCCTATGCCTGCTACAGACACTATTATTCTCCTCTGACTGATGCAAAAGGCCATAAACCATTTCAGAACAGACTTGTACTTCCACTGCACAAAAGAAGCCTGGTGATCCTTATCATTTTGATATTTAGGAATTGGAGCTACCTCCAATCTCCAGTGGAGATTAGGTGAATCAGCCCTTCCCAGAATTTACCTTCTTAAGAGGTACAAGTGAGGACATCAACATTTCATTCTGCCTCTGTATGATTATGCTTACATGAATTTAATTATGAGGAGTCAAGGTTCTTTTTCACTACTGTATGCCACACATTCTGGTAAAGAGATCTTTCTATAGTCCTCCAACAGCATATGAATCTGGTCCATCGGATTGGTATCCCAAAATCTATAGTGTTTTTACGTTTAAATATAAATGTCATTCTTGGAAGAATCTTGTCTTTTAGAAGCCTTACACGGCCCCACTTTATTCTAGAAGCTAGAGTTAATTCTCAAAACTTCATTTCCAATAGCTCAAAATCTTAAAATCTAAAGCACGACCAACTAAATTATTTTGGTTCTGTTTACTATCTCTGGTGACAATTTCATCAAGCCTTAAATAGGAAAATGTCAATTTCTGGCCTGTTTACCATTGTTATGCATATCTTGTCCAAGTCCAGACAGATAACACTGTTCATTTTTTAATACTGTTGGCATAAATTAATTGTTGAATTACCAAGTAAACACAGTAAGAAAGAAAATGGTTAGGAGTGTGGTTTTGGTGCTAACGACTGATGACTGTTTCTACCCCATTTGTCCTTAACTGTGCTCATGAACTTCTTTCCCTCCCTTCATGACTGAAGATCTGTCATGAAGATCCAAATGCGTCAACTCTGACAACTGCCTAAGGCAGAAAAAAAAAATTACAGATATCATTATTTGGAAGACAGATGAATCTTTTTCTGTCCCTTCTTCAAAATGAGCTGTGAGGAACAATTACAAGATATTATCAAAATTGATGCTCTTATAGGACCTACAACTACAACTACCTTTCTCTTTACTGAGATGAAAAAGGACCTTATTTCTATAGCATATTTTCAATGTATCTCTTCCCCTCAGTAAATGTGAGAGGCAAATTAAAAAAAAAAAAAAGTACATAACAGAATTTAAATCAATTAGTTTGTAAAGCACTAGCTAAGTGCTTAGAATATAATAGGTCTTCAATATATACTAGTGTCCTGCTCTTGCTTCCTCATCTTCTCCCATCCATCACCCTTGGCAAGTTACTTTAAACTCTGTGGCCTCAAACTCTTCATCTGTAACTAGGGTAAGATCAGATCTATGATTTGCAATTGGAGGTGAGGGGAAAGGGGTCCTAGGGAAATTTTCAGAATGAGGTGGGGAATGGTTGACATTTTTAACAAAATAGGATACGGGCTTCTGGGATAACTGTAACATTCTGTTTCTTACTCTTTGTACTGGTTACATGGGTGTGTTCACTTTATGAAAATTCATCAAGCTGTACAATTATGTATGTCATATTCAATTAAAATTTACATTAAAAAACTATACTAAAAAACTATAAAAACTATAAGAACTACACTGAATAATCTAAAATAATCTCAAAATGCTCTTCCCACTTTGATACTATGACCCCTTAAAACAGTGTTTTTCAATTACTTATCCTATCAAGAAGATATGTGAATTTTATTTTGCAGTTTGTATCATAAAACATTTTTCATTTTTTCAAGCATAAAATGTTAAATATGCTTTTTCAAACATATATGCTCTCAGAAAATCTCATACTACTTCTACCCTATCCCCAAGATAGCCTCACTATACATATATATGCACATCTATATGTATGTATACATATTCGCACATACATAGAGAAAGAGAGTAGGAGGGAGAGAGAGAAATACGAGGAATAATGCTAGGAAGTAATTGTGTCCACTCTAAATAACGAAAAATCTCATTTTATGCCTATAACCACAAACCCTATATATTTGTAGGTGATGATATGCAACAATTTGTAACTTGACATGCCATATGTCAGATACATATGATGTAATTTGAAGAAGTTAATTCCATGCATTGCAAAAATGCATTCTAGGCAAGCCCTGAGATTATGCTTTCCAGGGAAGTCAGGTCAATTCAAGAAGAAAAGTCACTTGTAGGTTTGCCTTACAGCTAAAAATTTTGGTCATCCGCTTCCCAACCACCACTCCTTAGTTGGGACCCTAGAAACATGCCAAAAAATTGTGATCATAAGATATAGGCTAACAAATAAGGATTGCATTATTCGCACTGGCAATTATTTCCCTATTGCGTGACCATCCTACCTCTAGTCATCTGTCATAAAGCTGATGTCTATTTTCCTATACTCATCCTCCCCCATCCTACCAGATGTACCATTCTTAAAAGACAAATATGCCCAAGCCTTGGGGGATGGACACTTTGGGACTATGTCTCTATGATTAGAGAAGTCTAAGAAAGCTACTCGGGCCCACTGGTTAGTACTTGATTACTTCTACCTTGAATAAACATATGATTAGATATATGAATTCCAGGTCCAAAAAAAAAAATCTTCAGGTCTTAAAGGGAAAACCAAGCAAAAATTATAATAGCACTAATTCATCAAATTTATGCGGCACTTATATTTTAAAATCATGGAACGTAAAAACATCAGCATAGGCGATTAATAAATATTTCATTCCTCCCTTATACTAACAGACCTGTCAAGTAAGCAAACACATTTTGTAGATGTCGCCTATTTATGGTCCTTATACATCTGATTTTCAAAAAATCAGAAGTTTTGGAAGTGAAATGTTCTGAATCCACAACTTCACTCCCTTAAATTTATGAACAAACTAAAGTCCAAAATTGGGCCCTCACTTGCCCACACTTGTCTTTGTACTTTTCTCCTATATTCTCAAAATCCCAATGTAATAAGCTTAAAAAAATGCCATCCTGGATTACTCAGAGGCAAAGAAAATAATTTCTTCTCAAGGTGTTAACTACCTTTTACCAGTTGAGACTCACAAAAGCATGTCTGGTAGGAAAAGTACTACACCAGGAAAAAATGAGATCCACTCAAGTTGAGTTGTTTTAGGGATTAAATTAAACAATAGATGCAAATAACAGATGTAAGCTGTAGAATGCTGTACAAATACAACTCCAGTATATTATGCAATACTTTATCTTATTTTCAAAAGTTCTTGGATGCATGAGAAAAAACTAAAACAGAAAACTTCAATGAATTCATTAGCAACAATGCTTTCATTCAATTATCACAGAGCTTTCTACAAGCCAGATTTTTTTTTCCAGTTTCTTTTTAATTTTAGCTATTTGGGTAGGTCTATAGAAATCTCATTTTTTTTTTTTTTTCATATAGAGGTATAACTTATCTAAAGTAATTTATACAAATCTTAAGTGAACAACTTGATGATTTTTCAGTATGTACACACCTATGTGTTCATCACCAACATTACCCCTGAAGGATCCTTCATGCCCCTTCCCAATCAACATACCCCTCTCAGAAACAACCATTATTTTGACTTCTATTAGCATATATTAGTTTTGCCTGTTCTTGGAACTTCATATAAATAAAATCACACATCTGCTCGTTTATGTCTGGCTTCTTTTGCTCAAAATAATGGCCCAATACTTTTAAGACTTATCGCAGTATACAGGTGACCCTTGAACAACGCAGGGGTTAGAGGCACCAATCCCCACATACTTGAATATCTGTGTATAACTTTTGCCTCCCCCAAAACTTAACTAATAACCTACTGCTGACTGGAAGCCTTACTGATAACATAGTCGATTAACACATATTTTGCATGTTATGTTATACACTGTATTCTTATAATATAACTAGAAAAAGAAAATGTTATTAAGAAAATCATAAGGAAAATACGTTTATAGTAGTTACTGAAAAAATCATGTATGAGTGGACCCACGCAGTTCAAACCTGTGTTGTTCAAACCAAGGGTTAACTGTATTACAATTCTTTGTATGACTGTCTATCTCCTCCTGTAGACATGAGATTTTGAAGGCAGAGATGGTGTCTGATTTATAGCTGTATTCCCAGTGCCTAGCACATAACAATTAAAGAATCAATTAAGATTAGCTAAATTCAGTACACTGAGGGCAGGCAGCACACAAGATGCAGAGAAGGAACCAGAACAAAAGACGTGAATCCTGGCATCCACTTAAAAAAGCAAGTCCCATTACACTAGCAGAAGGGTCTGCAGTTCTGAGACTTCCATTTCATATAACTGCTGTTAGATCTCAGCACCACATAAACAGGATAAATCTGGAAAAGCGGAGCTGTAATTTGGGAAGCAGGTTTTATGCTAAGAAAATAAATAGTTTTTTCACTCTCACTGCAGGGGTATTTTTAGCAACATGGTCAGCTATAATGGCACATCTCATATTAAGCATAATTCTGCCAAACCTGAAGTCAACTTAACGTAACACTTCCAGATGGGTGAGGTGTGATATGGAGAAAGAAGAATAAGGTTTATGAGAGTCAAAACAAAAGCAAAATCGTATATACCAGCACACACAATTTTAAGCCATTTTCTAGGCAAAGAAAATGCCCCTACTAACCCTTGTCCGATCTTCTCAAACCGTGTATATTTCTTCTTAGGATCGCCCACACTCACTATGCTCCCTTTGAAAGAAACAGAGACCATGAATCATTTTTTCTCACATCAAGACACAAAAGAGGCCCTCTGTTTCCCCAAACCCTGGAGTTTGCAGAGGTACCTCCAATACTCAAAAACCATTCTAAGTAGGTCCTTAGCTTTCCCCCATAAGTTCCAACCGAAAGTTTTATCTCCTTACAGCTTTTATTTGTAGTAATCTATTCCATTTCTAAACTCCTAAAAGCCATTTATTCATTTTTAAATCCATTTATTCAATAAACATTTACTCATTTAATATGCTCACTTATTAACGTACCAAGCCCTATGTTGAGTGCCAGGAATAGAGATAGATGAGACAGTAAAGACCACCTCTGTTCTCAAAAACTTTCATATCATGGAGGAGACAAGTACAAAGTTCCATGAAAACACAATAATTATTATGACAGATGGGAAGGGGATACAGAAAGAGGTACAAAATATAGACTGAAAGGCTTTAGAAAGGTGCTATCTGGACTGATTTTTACAGAGTAAATAGGAATTAGTCAGGGAGAGAAAATTGATAAGAGGTTATAGCAGTAACTACTTCCAATGCAATGACATAGAGGTATGAGAGTTCATTGAGTTTCACAACCGTAATCTAGAGATGGTGAAACTGAGGCCCACAGAAGGGAAGATGCTTCCTCCCAGGTCACACAGCAAATTGGTGTTAGAGCTAAGATGAGACGTTTGGTTTTCTGTCTCCCACTCCCAAGTGTTTTCTGTTAACACCAATTACTAAGATTTGGTACTTTTCACATACATTAACTTATTTGATTTACAAATGAGATAAGTATTAACATCCCTATTTAAAGGTAAGAAAAAAGAGGTCCAGAGAACAGTAGGAAACTACCCAAGACCCAAGTCAGTGGCAGAGGTGGGCCTTCAACCCAGGTGTCTTTAACTACCAGGCCAGTCTGCTTTCTATAATTCTATGTTCTAAATATTATTGCTTTTTTAAAACCTCTGGTTCAGAGAAAAAGACTACTCAGAGGAACAAACAGATGACTTGGTTAATGGCCCTTCTTATTCCGTCATAAGGGCTCTGGGCAAAGGCAACTTTTAAAAGAGTAAAATATTTTTTGAAAAGTCAAACAAGAATTATCAGGAAGAAATCAAAGCCTTGACTTAAGAAAGCAATGCCACCTTGCAGATTTGGCCAAACCCTCTGAAGAAGTAGACAGGTACAAAGAATAAATCAAAGGCTTTGTCAAATGATTTTTCTAATCCCACAGACCAACCTAGTCCTGTCTAATATAAATTCTCTTGTAGTTTACTGAAACACAGAAACAAGCTACCCTAATATACTCCCATTTCTGGCCACTAAAGAAAGTAAAATGTTAGTTTCCATCTGAAAGAGGCAGCACGCTTTAATTACTGGAGTGCAAGTTGTATTCTAACCCCGGGCCTGCCACTTTCTGGCTGTGTGATTTTGGGCAAGGCATTTAACATCTCTGAGCTTCAAAAACCTTAACTGCAAAAAATGAGGATTATAATGTCTGTCTTCACAGGGTTAATATAAGGAATAAATGAAAATAATATCAAGAAAATACCTAGCCTGTCATTTGGTACATGGCATAGGCTCACAATGTATTAGTTTCCCTTCCATCTTTTCCTACCAGGTATGGAACAAGGCCTCAGTCTTTCTCAATACAACATTCCAGACTATTCACTAGATAAATGCTATTTGTCATCTATATAACCCATAGCCAGGGGTGAGAGATGCCTTAAAGTGAGCTCTCTTTTTCATCACATTCCCATCCTAATGTGGTATCCAATTAGGGCTGGTGAGACAGAGGAGCTGGGTACCAGGCTAGCCAGCCCACAGAGCAAGCTCACAGAGTAAGCCTAGGAATGGAAACTTTATAGCAACCAGATTCCATCTTTGTGCCTGACCAAGCATATACCAGAGGAAGGTCCAGAAAGCTACAAAGTGCTTACGTAGTTTCTCCAAGATCTCTTCATCAGACATTTTAGGTTTCTTCTTCTGCTTCTCAGTATTCCGGGTCAGAGCATCTGGAGGAGTGGTATTATTCTCGGTAGGTGAAATGGGAGATGTAGCCACGTCCCGAGTTGGAGTAACTGGAAGTGGTTCAATCACAGACCTTGTGTATACCTGCATTGTTGGTGCAAGAATTTGGCAAGGCCAGCATTTGTTAGCACTGGGAAACTTAGAAGCCTCTCTGAAATGTGTGTATTAGAACATCCACAGAAGAAAAAATCCCAACAAACTCATCCCTTCTCCTATGTCAAAATCTACGTTCCCCCTCTTCTGTGCCAGGCCCATCCTCTGTGGATGAAATTCCCTCCTTGCTCTCAGAACATACAAAAAGGGTTAATGAGAGTCTGAACACAAGATATTCAATACAGGTTAAATGGCTCTCAACAGAAATGATTTAAAGGCAATTCTATCATTGGATGGGAATCTCCTTCCTCTCAAAGTTCTATTCTGTCCCAAGCTAAAATGAATCCTGTATTCCCACAGCACTTTTTTTTTTTCATTGCTAATACAACACCTAACATTATCTTCTTTTGAGTTACTCCCTCTTTAAATACTGAACCATTGCAGAGAAGAAACTTTAATTGTTCTTAAAGAGGCAGTAGGGTGTAGTAATTTAGAACCTGGAACCTGACTGCCTGGGCTTAAATCCCAAATCTTATTCTTACCATCTGTATGACCTTGGGCAGTTTACTTAGCTTCTTTGTGCTTCAGTCTCCTCATTTGTAAAATAGTGATATTACTGATACCTATCTTATAGGGTTGTTGTAGTAGTAAATCAACGTGTGAAATGATTAAAATCATGCCCAACTGATTTTAAGCTTTCAAAATTTCGCTAGTATTGAATTTCCTATTCATTCATTAACTTAAACATTTACTGAGAATCTGCTCTTTGCATCGCTGTAAAGAATGCTGCCACATCCTCTATTCTTGTGAAGAAAGTCTTGTAAGAAAGTCAGAACTACAAGGCAAAAAGGGATGTCATAAAAATGAGCAAACTATATACGACTGAGGTTCAGAAGAAGTGATCATAAGTTATACTCCCTTTCCCCAGAAGATCCTTCAAGGCATTCATCAGATTTTTTAATAAAAATATCACTACTGTCTTTTAGCTAGTCTATAAGCTCTATGAAGACAGTGAATGTGTCTTTCATCCCTTAGTTTTTGTATCTAACCAGCTGCTTAACAAAAAAGCATGCATGCAGGTAAATGTCTGATGAACCAATGAATAAATAAATGGGGTTCTTCAGCTGGATCTTGAAGGATGGATGGGATTTTAATAGGTAGAAATGGAAGAGAACTTAAGTCAAGGCACTGAGATCAGAGACTAGAACTTCTTTCCTGACTACTATGGTATAATGATGTCTTAGTTTTCTATTCTTATAACTATAGACAAACTATATCCCTGGCACCTAAAGCCTGTACTGTCATGCCTTGGCCTTCTTCTATAGTTCTCCTGACATGGTTCCTTGAGGGCACAAATCCTGCCTTTTCTTTTTCTAATACACTCTGGCTTCCAGAACATACAAAAAGGCTACTGTGCTATGGTGGAAAACAACCTGGACTTGGGGTAAATTACCTGCTTCTAGTCCTAGCTCTTTTGCTTACTAAGAGACTTTGGATAGATCAATTTACTTCTCCAAATCTCAGCTGCTTCTTCTATAAATTAGGAATTAACAATGCCTTTTTAGAAAGGAATGTTATGAAGATCAAATTTATTGATTGATTCACTCATTCATTCAAGATTTACTGCTTTTCTGATACCTGCCAAAAACAATATTAAGTACTGCAAATTACATACGTGTGTGTGTGCGTGCGTGTGTGTGTGTGTGTGTGTGTGTGTGTGTGTGTTTACTTCCTCTACTTCTGAGTAGTTCATGATTTAGTGGGGAAAAAATTTTTTTAAATGAATATGCTTACAAACCAAAAGAGGTCAAAATAATGTTAAGTATCTTGACAACTCTCCAATTTTGAAGCTCATTTTCCTTAAGGAAACTTTATGACCTACAGAAAGAGTGATTCCATAGATCCTGTTTACAAATTCTCATCCTAAAAGCTCATCTAATCCCCTTGAATTTCCTCCATAGCATCTCCCAGTTAGTCAACCAACTTCTGCTTGAACACCTCCCTGAATGCTCTAATCTAAGGCAGCCTTTTTTCCTATTATCACAGAGTTTAAGCCATTGATTCTTCTTTCATTATGAAGCTCTCGTCATTAGAAAAAAAATCCAAGTAAAGAAACACTAGTAGAAAATCACCTGATGACAGGTTAGTACTCAATGATGCTAAATCAGGTAAAAGGCCTAGGGACCATATTATGCAAAGTAAGGGCAGAGGGACTGTGGCTATTTCAAGATGCAAGAACCTCCAAGGTAGTTAAATAAAAATCACTGCCAACATCAGGCATCAAAATGCACTCCGGATGTCCAGCATATTAATAGCACTAACATATTTATCAACTCTCTTGAGTCTTTCAGTTTTATCAATGATGTTCTAAGAGGCTGAATGCTGTACATTTAACAGAGAAGAAAAAATCTGCAGCAGGATAATTGTTGCTTCCCAGGAGACTGGAATAATTTTTGTTAGTCCTACACTAAGTAACATTAATTCTGTATATCTTCCTGTATGTGTAAAACAGGCCAAGTAAACTAGAGCTGGGTTGGTATAAACACCAATTATTTAGGACACTTTGGGACTATCTGCAAACCCATGATAAATATATTGATAAATATATATACTTTTCACCTTTACTCATAAAGAAAGCACCTTTCAAACAACGTGATCAGTGATCTCTCCAGCTCCAAAATCTATGGACCTTTACCCAAGTATTATATCTCTAGGCCTCAGCGTGAACCCCTCCCTTCCACTCCAAATTCTAATAAATCACAAAGCTGTCCACATCTCCAAAGACTCACAGATTTTGTGTGCTCTGGGCGTGGAGCAATCACTGGAGGTGGGGTAGCATCATCATCATCATCTTCATCTTCTGAAACTGGCGGTACTGCGGGGGTCTCAGACACTGTCTTCACATTCTGTACAGCAGAGAAAAGCCAGATTTCAGGTGCAGCTGACATGGAACTTAAGCTACTAGGATCACAGTCCACCCCTCCCCCCACCCCCCCACCCCCATGAAACCTCATCCTGACTCCGTTTCTAAAACCTAAATCAGCCTCCGAGCTCTTCACTCTTGTGTAGCCAGTGAGGAACTCATTCAGCTTCTTTCTCTTCTTTTAATTAACACTATTCACTTAGTCCATTTTCCACACCCGAAGCCTAACTGTGGATTGGGAAGCCAGTTTATGGCTTCTCTTTCTGCCTTCTCCAGTTCAAACCCTGATGACAAGATCATAGTTCCTTCTTATTCTATGAGTTTTACTCTCCATACTGAACAGATAATAAAATACAAAATGTAGGGAAGGGATCAAAGTTTGGAATTTTATAAAGTTTATCAATGTAATTCCTTACTCCTTTCTGATATGGTTAATGAAAGTTCAGACAGGCTTTTGCCTCTCCTTTTCCATTCATTACCAAAACCTACTGCACACATTATATCCTCAGGTGCCCTCACCTCAACTTGAAAATATAGAACATCAGGAGCACCTTGTCTCAAGAGAACAATGAGTTTCTCCTCAAACGATACTATCCATTTCACTGAGCTTTGCCCTGTCCCAGAATGAACGTTACCAGCACCACTAATTGGATTTGCTATTATCCCAGCAACCTGATTTTCCCATGAAAACTCTAACAAAGCTGAGCCAAGAGTGGCAGGCTTGGGGGCAAGCCCAGGCAAACATATCATATCATTACTGTTTACAATGCATATTCAAAAGACAAAGTAGATCCAAAGCATGAGATTTTTGATAGAGATTAAACGATTACAGCATAGGACCAGAGAGGCAATAGGAATATTTATATATATATTGATATAATTCAACAATTTCAGATATTTTCAGATATCTGAAATTGTGCTCAGGCACTTACTTTGTGCTCAGTAAGATACTGTGATGGACACTGTTGACATTAAGGCACAAAGATGAAAAATGTGCTCCATGTCCTAAAGCAGCTCATCGTCTGATATAAGAAAGAGAAGTTGAGTTCCCCTCCTGCCTGCCACTTGGGGCCTCTGGAGAAAGGGCAGTCAGGAGTCAGAATGAAAGGCGATAAGTGGAAAAACTTATCTAGTGGAAAACTAGATAGAACTACTGTTACTGTGTGGGAGATTGGCCTTTACCACATTTGACATACTAAGGTAAGGAAAATTGGCAATCTCATAGATTTTAACAGGACCTCCAGTACCGGACATAACTTAAAAACTGACAGTGCCAGGCATATGTAAGCAACTAGCTTTGATGACCGGAACAATAAATCAATCTTTAATCTCAAGTTTCATCACTTAAGGAATGTGGAGGAAAAGGAGTGGTATTATTTGAGAAGTGACTTAGGTCACTCTCAGTTCTAAAATCCAATAGAGGTTCTTTCCCTGTCAAAGTCTATGTTTTGATATTTTTCTGCTCTAATTTCTTTTCTCCCCACTATTCTACTCAACAAAATTTAACTAGGAACCCAAAATGAGAATTTAAGTTAACTCCGTACCTCTTCATCATCAAGCAGCCTTGGGCTCCCTGATGTATACTATAAACAATAAACTTGTTTCCTTCCTAAAACTGTAGAGAAGGGGATTTCATCACCTTCCTTAGCAACACATTCTATTTTCCACAGGTGATAGCTTTGGGTGGTAGTATTCACAACTACCATAATCAAGAGATAAAGGTTTTTTTTCCCCAAGTTTTTACTTATCCCTGTGTCCTCGGGCAAGGCTGTCGTACTCTAAGCCCCAAATTTCTTATATCTAAAATGAGGAAAGAAGAGTGACGTAAGAAACTTGGCAGAGTGAGAGATGTCCCCAGATCTCTCCCCTTGAAACAACAATAAGCTAAACATCTAAAACTCAACAAAAAAACACCACACCCAACCTGCACGCAAGCATGTCTGAGCGAAGGTTCTGTGAATAAGAGCTACCACAGGCTTTTCATAAGTGGAGTGTGTATCTGCAAGATGATCCAATGAAGTGTGACAAGAAAATATTAAAATTCTATTGATAGTTTAAAAAATAATAAATAAATGAATGAATGAATGAACGAAATGAGGATAATGCAAGCAGCTCTCTGCCTACCTCAGACAGCCACTAGGAGGGTGAAATGAAGTAATATTGATAATTAGTAGGCCTTTCTTTAACTCAAGAGTTTTCTTCTATTATTCTTCTGATTATTTTTTCACTCTAGTGCCTCTGCTCTCTAATTCTTCTTTAATCTCCTTGCCTAAACCACCTGTGTCCCTTATTCTCGTATTTTCAATGTTTTTATGCTTTATATCATTACTTCACCCTTAAATGCATTTGTTTTTTAATCCTTGTGAATTTATTTCCTTAACCATATTTTTAATTTCTAAGAATTCTTTTTTATCCTCTGCTATAATAGCAGTGTGTTTTTGTAGATGCAAGATTTATAGAACCTCTCTGAATACATTAGATTTTTTCCTTAATTCTCTTTCCTGAATTATCTATTTTCTCTGGGGGTGGTTTAATTTCTTTATCTTGATTCTTCTCTTTAATGCTTTGTTTCCCTCCAATGTCTAGAGATCCATGGCTAGCCATTCATATTTATAAGGGAAGGACTAGATTGACTAGTGTATGTACTTAGCATGCGTTTCTCCTGCAGTGTGCAAATTTGTTTCTCCACTGTCCCCTCCTCTAAATGGGAGGTCTAATGTAGTCTGTATGTGAGTTATGGAGATGTGGTTACTGGCAAGCATCACTTTGGGGTATGCTGGCATGAAAGAGCACATAAGGTAGAGATTTCTCCCTTCCCAGTTATCAAAAGTATAAGAAATTTACTCTTAGAATGAAGAAATTTAATGTATTTTCTTCTACTTCAGAGCTACTTTTTTCCCCTTTTTATACCTGCTGTAGAGACCTGTACTTAATTCAGGTTCTGCTCCACTTCTCTCAGGCCCCTAAAACCACACCGAGAGCTCTCCTCAAGTAGTCACAGTGCGCTTTCTTCAGAAAATTATCTGGTTTAAGCTTAGAACCAAAATTCTGCTACCCGTGCTCACTGTAAGATGGAGACCATCCCTGCTGTTTTAAATGCAGAATTTTAATTATTTTACCCTTGAAGATGACCCAGGACCCCTTCCTGCTTCTTATATATATTCTCTCAGCTCATTTTCTCTAGAGCTACTCTTATCTTCATAGGAGTTTTCTCTTCCATATGCTTTATACTGTGGTTTCTTTTGCTCTGATCAATATGATCTTATCTGCTTTCTATCTTCCATAAATTCCTGACAATGGTTCATTTTTGTCCTCTTTTTGTTTCAGAGCACTGTTTTGAATCTATTTTTTAATATATCTTAGCTATTAAGAAATTTGAGATAGCGAGAAAGATAAACATATGAATTCATTCCATTACCCTGATCTAATTTCCATAGGAATCTAAGATGTTGGTTTAGACTAAAATTCACATTCAACTATATCAATCTCCTATTTAAAATATTCCTTAGCTACAGCACAAAGTCCAAGTTCTTTGGCTTGAGATGATGGATCCTTAAGGTGGCTTTTGTTCATGCTACCTCAGACAAGAAAGCATTGTCCTTTTCTCTGCCTGGTATCATTATCTGTGTTTACCTGATATTATGTTATAAATCCGTGTTTACATGTTCTGATTCCTCACTAAATAGTGAGATCAAGAGCAAAAACCTTGCCAGTCCTTGACTCCCCAGTCTATCTCACAGTAGGTGTTCATTTTATAAAAAAGACTTCAGGCACTAAAAAGCATAGAATCTGAGATCTAGGACTAATGAACCACAAATAAAAGAATTTTAGACCCAGAAGGCCCTTAAAGATCATGTTTGTTAAATGAACAAATCATTAGGGTCCAGCAACTCAGTGTAAACTTCCCTGTACTACCAGGCAGAATAAATCACTCCATCAAATATGACCCCCATTGTACATTATTTATACCTCTTTTGCTGCCCTTATCCCTCTAGTCTGTTGTTAATTTTTCCCTCAAGGACTGAAATAGTGCATATTCATTTTTGTATCACCAACACCTGGGCACAAAGAAGGGGCTAAGTAAATATTTATAGTATGAATGAATAAATAATCAGGAGAATTGAATTTTGTATTGGTTTCTATCACTTATTCATTCAAGGGTAGGGAGCAAGTCTCAATTTCTTAATCTGTGTTATGAGATAATAATTCTGAATGTCCGATTATTTCATAAATCAAGTGGAATTTCATAATCTGTATGAAACTGTAGAAAATGATAAGCTACCACAATATAAGGCATACCTCCATGTAAAAAATAGTAAGAGAATACAGAGTACTGAGCCACAGGGACAAATGTTTTAAACTGGGAGAGAAAATGTCCTTGACAGACTGAGTGGTTTTAATTGTAGATACTAAACCAATACAGGTTTTTACCAAGCAGGTGTTATCCTCTCTGCCATATGGTGTGAGCCCCAGGGCTCCTCATCCTCACTAAAGACATAGCTATGACTTACTGCAGTCTCCTTTATAAGACTTCTGACATCTTTCTCAGTTCCCTGTCACAGTGAAAAGAATCCAGAACTGGCACTCAGAAGACCCTAGTTGTAGTCTAAGTGTGCCACAATAGCTAATTATGAGTCTTTAGGAAAGTTTGTTTTTCTACCTATGAAAGGGAAACAACAATACTTTCTTCACAAGGTAATTGTAAGGACCAATTATGGTAACGTACATAAAGTTATTAGCACAGTGCCTGGCACATATTAGCCACTCAATATATGATAGCTGTCACTCCTCCTATAAAAGCATAAAGATATCTGAGCCAGCTCAGCTTTGTTCAAGCCCCTTCTTCAACAATTTACTGTTCAATAATGGTAAGAAACTCCGAAAGATCGTAACATTTGCAAATTCTTCCCTATCTTTTAATTACATCTCTTCCACTTGATTAAAAAATAAATAAGGGAAAAATAATGCAAACTGGGAATGATACCTGTTGCCATTAACCCTTCTCAATTTCAGTTTTATCATCTATAAAACAAAGTTAATAACCCACTTCATTACACTCCTGTGAGGATTAAAAGAAATAGTGAATAAGAAAAGATCCAGTATGCTGTAAGGCACTGGACATGTGAACATTTTTTATAATTGATAACAGTATAAATGACTCAGAGTAAACCAAGCCCCACTGCTGGAAGCATGGTTCAAAGTATTTCGATACTGACTCAATATTATATTAGAACTTTACTACTCCCCAGCTTAAAATTTTTAACAGCTTTTCATTACCTTGAAGACAGAACTCCTACATGGTCTGACTTGTTTATTGCTCCTCTTTGTCACCCACTTCTAGTTCCTTCACATTTCACATTCCAATCATAACAAACTACTTGCATTTCCCTGCATAAGGCATACCTTGTGAACCTCCCTGTCTTGGCACATGCTATGCATTCAATCTGTCTGAATTACTCTCGTCTCTTCATAATTTTGTTCGGCTCTGCCTTATCACCAAGAAACTTTCTCCTATACATCCAATGTTTTAATCAGTAAGTGGTTACTTGCCAGATGCCATGGATACAGAAATTAACAAATCACACATAGCCCCTGGCCTCATAAAATCTTAGCACACTTCACTATATAATTGCTTGTTTGTGCCTTCATGTCACTCACAAGACTACAAGATTATGAGGAGTTGGGACAATGTTTGACTCCTCCCTATACTGCCATTTCTCCCTAAGACCTGGCACAGAGTAGGGGCTTTACAAATGTTTAGTAAATCAATATGACATAACCACCTTTATACAAGAGACAACATCCAGTATAAAGAATAGCAGTATTCTCTAATACATATCACAACTTACTATTTAAAGACCTCTTTAAATAGTAAGTTCCGGGTGCACTCTGAGAGCATGTGGGAGGAGACGCCCCACCTTCAGAGATCCAGTTCAAAGGGGAAACGGCAACATCCATAGGTCAGGGGTGGAAGTGGGGAGAAGGGGTAATTAAAGAGGGGGGAAGAAAAAGAAAAAGAAAAACGCTCAGAAAGGCAAATTGGCTTTCCCAAGGTTCAAAGCTACAAATAAAACACTGAGCCTAAAACTAAAAGCTAGTTTTTCTAGTTCCAAGGTGAAGATTTCTAGAACATTAAAAAATTAAAGTTGGAAGGAATACCTACTGTTTATTAAGTTCAATTTCTTTACTGTATAGATAGGAACTCTGAGGCCCGTGGTGGGAGAGTGACCAAATGAGTCCCTCTCAGCCCAGGCACTGCACCTACCACACTGTCTTGTTCCCTAACCACCATACCTGCCAATATTAGAATAGAGGAAATAAAGACTTACCAAAGTGTTAGAAGAATTATAATCCTCAGCTAATTTATCTGTAAAGAAAAAAAGACATGGGACTCAGTCAGTAAACAATTAGTCAATCTATTCTTGGGAGTGAAGGAAAACTATCTAGTCAAGCACTTGACAAGCTCAGAGAATAACAGCAGTTTTACTGGTGCTATGGGCCCAACACCATGCTCAGTACATTATATACTTTACCTCCTTAAATCCTCACTATAGTTCTGAGAACTATTATAGATTTAGAAATGTTAAGTAATTTGCCCGGGGTACACACAGGTTATATAAGAGTCAAGATTTGAATCCTGGTCAAATTCTAAATACGATGCTACAACTGTATCCACATCACCAACTATATCATTATGAGGCTTGAATGGTCAAGGAAATTTCATGCAGTCTAAAAGAAAGAGAAAGAACTCACGGCTGGCAAGGTCCTGAGCTATCCATAACAAATTACAACCAGCCTACAGCTTCAGCTTTGAAAAGGAGACTCTACATACATGTCTATTCCCCCAGAAAGAGAAAGACTAAGGCTCAGGAAAAGACAAGCACTAAACATGTCAAATCTCATTAAAGGCAGGGTCTTGTTTCTAATAATAGATTCAAGCTCCCTAAATGAGGCAATTACCATATTTCATTGATTTGGAGATATACATTTTTTCACATTAACATTTCTGAAACAGAGATGTGCCCCACAATTAAAAGTATTTCATGTTTTAATTGGCAACCTTTTTTTCTTTAGTGGTACATAAAATAATGGTACATCTTAAAATCAATGATACCTTAGACTTAATGAAATATGAAACATACACTCAATGAAGATCTTAGCAAGAAAATAAGTTTAAAAACCAAATATTTTGTTCAGTTTTATTCTGAGTCCTAAAGATCCAAGAAGGAAGTGACTTCAGTGGTTCACCACCAATGGAATTAGGAGAAGAAATATCCTACTAAATTCAACATATTTCTCACCAAGAACCAAGCCCAGAGAATGTCCAAGATCCCAAATCCAATACATAAGAGAGTGCCATGTACAGCTTTGTTGGTCCTATGACAAATAATGAACCCACTAGCTGTGATAGTATGTTCTTAAAACAAACCCTGAATAGACAGGTGTACCCTGAGGAAATCTATTCAGGATATACTTTAAACATAATTCACTTGTTTTTCTTGTCTGAGAGAACATCAGCTTGGGCAAAACAAAGCATAATACTATGCCTTCACTGCAACACCTACAATCTTATGCACTGCCAGTGTTTTTGAGGACTGGATGTTCTGGTATTGCCTATCACATTAACTACTAATTGGTACAGAAAATAAAGTGCTAAAAAAATAGAAAACTTGACAAAATAGATTGGCATGAAGGATTATGTTCAGGTTAAAGACAGCAAAGGGTTAAGTGACCAAGTTTAAAACATACTTCCATTACATATTAGTTGAGTCACCCTGAGTAAGTCATTTAGTTTCTCTAAGTGTAATTAATTTCTAAGTCTCTAAAATGGGAATAATACTTGCCCTACCAACCCCACAAGCCATTATGAGAATCAAATAGATAATCCATATACAAAGAAATTAAGGTAGTGTTATCACAATAGTATGAGAAAAGAGGAAACAGGAAAATAAACTGTATCAAATAAACTGTATCACATATACAGTTTTGCCTAGAGTTGGCCCTGGTCTTTAACTTCTAGAAAATTAAAAATCCTGCATGCATGCACATATGTGCGCATGCACACACACACGTACACACAATTCACATATGTGTGCACAGATGAACATACATACAATTACCTGAATGTGTATATCTTTACACATAATCATTCATCATCATTCATAAATACATAAGTGGACTTTAATTCCAAACATATGCAAACCCAGAACTATGCTTCCATAAACATATATAGCATTTATACACATCTATACACATGTACACATAAAAACAGAAATTCTTCCAAAGACTTAGCTGCTAAGGCTTTCAAAGCCAGCTTCTAATCTCACATCTCCATGACAAACTCCCTAAAATACAAGTTCTAATCTCCTGACTAGAAATCTTGACCCCCAGTACCTCTCAACCCCAATTCCTCCTTGGAATGACCCAGTCCTTCAATGGGAAAAGTAAGACAGACCCAGTGGGGCCAGACGTGAAGAAGGAAGTACTGCTGGGAACATGCATGACCCTCTCCTGGGCACTGCCATGGCAGAAGGAGCAAAGCTGCAGTCTGTCCTCCTCACCATCTGTGCCCTCTGATACAAGCCAGATACTTGCTGGGGAAAGCGTCCTTCAAAATTACCTAGTTCATCCTGGTTCTCACCTTCCCCAACAGTACTGTCCTTTGAAAAAGACAGCGTGAACTCTGGAAAGAACACCAGACTCAGGATTAAGAGAACAGCTCTGCTACTCATTTAGCCTCATTAGAAAGGTCTCTTTTGGCTTTAATGTCTGCAAAACAAGGGGGAACTGGAAGTGATATACACTAAGGACATTTCTTGCTCTAACATTCTAAGATTATATATAAAAGTTTCCAGAAATGTAGGCCTTCTTGTAACTTATCTAGGAAAAGAAAAATCTCTCAGCTATGTAAGGAGGTTCTCCAATAAAGTTACTAGAGGCACATAGTAAATTCAAAGGGTGCTGGTACAAGAATCAGGAGACCTGGCTTCTAGCCCCAATTCTGCTATTAAAAACAACTCTGGAAAACAAAGTCCCTTATACAGAAAGAGGGTATATAAAGAACATTATTACTAACCTGTTTTTTATTTGACTGATAAAAATTAGTGCCTTGAGGAAGAAATTAGGCTTGCCTACTTAAAAGATACACATTAAATGTTATTAAATAACTTAATGATATTAAAGATAATGATAATGACAGCTACATTTCCATGGTGCTGTTTATAACCTATAAAAGACTTTCACATCGATGAGCTCATTTATTCCTCATTATAATATCTAGAGGTAGGAATTATTATTCCCAATTTGAGGCTCAAAGAAATGAAATGACTATTAGAACCTAGCAAGTGTCAGAATTTAGTTCTAGCACACAGTCGATGTGCTTTATATATAATTTCATGTTACCTTTTTAAACATCCAGTTTCAGAGCAAAGATGTAAATCTGATGTAAAACCCCATCATCTTGGTTCTCAAATTCCAAAATTCCATCTTAGTGAAAGTACCATCTCCACTCTATCCAATACTTTCTTCTCTCACCCCACACCAACAGGCATGTGGAGCTTTTCCATCCAGATGAAAATCCTTTTATTCCTAGTCTGCACTAGACACAATCCTCATACCTGTAAAGCTCATGTACTTCTGACTGTTGGAGGTCTTCTTTGAGTTATAGAATTCCAATACATCAAGAACAGCCTGTGGGTTTTTCTTCTGCTCCGACTTAGTGATATTTGATGTCTGAAGTAAGCGGGCCCACTGCTCTGGCATCCCCTATTAGAGAGACATGCAAGGCTGTCAGGAAGACACAGTCACAGGGAACCCAAAAGGAAAATCAAAGTTAACTCTGATACATGCTAGCACCTCAAGACAGATTTAGTCATTTCTTTCTCTCTGTACTCTCAGAGTGCTACACAAGCCTCTTTTATAATATTTATCTCATTGTATTGCTCATTTGAGATTTTTGCTCCTTCACCAGGCTATTTCTCCTTTAGAGCAGAAATCATGTCTGATTTGTCTCTGTAACATCAGTGCCCAGCACAGAGGCTGATGCCAAGGGGCCACTTAAAGGAGCTGTAGTTAAGGAATGAAGATTCAAAGGTTTCTTTGGTACAGTTCTGGAGATGAGGAAAGTGTCCCTCTCATGAACATAAAAAGGTACTAATGAGGATCTCAGGCAAAGACAGAGGCATCAGGAAGACTAGAAAGGATAAAATCTAATAGTGCATAGCCAGAACTCTGAAAGACCAAAGGCTTTTCTGTGACCCATGACTTACTGTAAACTCCCCTGTGACAGCATCAAAACCAACGTGAATTGTGTGCTCAAAATCTGAAGGGAGAGAAATCTCTGGCCGTTCCTTCTCCTTCTTTTTATTTGCTGCAAAAGAAACAGGGAAAAGGAAAAAAAAAACAAACCAGAAACATTATTACATTTTTAGGCTTATCTAGCTCTTTATTGACCTGTAGGCTCCTTTAGAAGCCCATGACTGTCTACTTCACATATGTGTATAAGAACCTAAAGCTGGACTTAGATTGGAGTAGATGCTCAATGCATGATTAAAGATCTAATTTTTTTGTCGAACTCAAATAAGGGAGGAGCAGAGAAAATACTTGTTAGGTTAATAGCCCTGGTTCTATTACTAATGAGCCATTTGATCCAGGGAAAGTCACTTCCTTTTCTGAACCCTGGTATCCCTAGCTGTACGAAGAGAAGGCTTGAGTAGATTGTCTCTAAAGACATCCTACATTCTATGAGCTTCTATCAACTATGTCCTACTTGTTTGGTCCTTGATTATGGGCTTCTTCAAGGTTCTCTAAATTACAGCATTGTATATTTGGAAGTTGTTTTAATAATAGGAATCACCAATATTTTATCAGGTGCTTACCAGGCAATGGTTCAAGTTCTTCACATGTATTAATTCACTTTAGCCTCACAGCAACCCTATCAGTTAGGTACTATTATCCTTATTTTGCAGTTAAAAGTCTGAAACATAGAGATTAAGTTACTTGCTCAAGATCACATGGTTAGTAATGGCAGCTCCCAGACCCAAACCCAGGCAGTCTGGTCAGAGACTGAGCTCTAAACCACTATGCTATACTGCCTCCTTAGACTAGGACCTTAAAGGATCATAAGTCCAAATACTTGTAATCATCCCTCTCCCATCAAGAGTCTTGCACAAGGTAGATGTTCACTAAGGTCCTGCTGACCTGGCAGAAAAAGATTCAATATTTAAGGAGTTGAAATGCTGAAGTACCCTTAACAGAGGTTAAACTGTATCCCTGCCCACCCTCTCCCCTGCCAAAAATCTTATGTTTTAACTCATGGTATCTCCGAATGTGACTTTATTTGGAAATAGAGTCATCAGTTTTGTATGTATATCATTTGTATCATGCTTTAGGTTTTACAAAGCACTTTCATGTATATTAGTTCACTACAGTCTCAAAACAACTATGATAAGCAGGGCACTGAGTATAAAACCCACTTGACAAAAGAAACAGAGGTTCCAAGAAGTTAAGTAACCTTTCCAAATTAGAAGCAGATCTGGGACCATAATTGAGGTTTTCAGACTCCCAGCTCTAAGATTTTCTATTCTGTCACTCAGCCTTTCATGGACTGCTACTGCTCATGATTATGTTCTCTCCCCTCTCTCCCAATGAATTCCAGTCCCCACATCATTAATGATTTTATCTTCAATACGGTGATCAAATTTATCCACTTTTCTCCATTTTCATTGCCTCCACCCTATTTTAGGCTTTGTTTCTGTGGCCTGAATCATTCTAACAGTAACCTGTCACCTGATTTCTCGTCTTCTCCAACACAAATGACAGCCAAGGTGATCTATAGCCTTGCTATTCAAAGCAGCATCTGCATCACTTGGGAGACTATTAGAAATGTAGAATTTTGAGCTCTACCCTAGACCTACTGAATCAGTATCTGAATTTTTTAATACAATCCCAAATGATTCATGTGCAAAAGTCTGAGAATCAAAAAAATGAGAAGACAAACTATAGAGAGAAAATATTTGTAAAAGATATATCTAATAGAGAACTATTACCCAAGACAAACAAGGAACTCTTAAAACTCAACAATAAAATAACAACCCAATTAATAAAATGGGCAAAAGACCTGAGTACACACATCATTAAAGAAAATATACAGATGGAAAAGGTGCTCAACATAACATGTCATTAGGTAACTGCAAATTAAAACAATGAAATAACACTACATACCTATTAGAATGGCCAAAATCTAAAACTGATAACACCAAATGCTGACAAGGATGCGGAGCAACAAAAACTTTTATTCATTGCCAGGGGGAACGTAAAATGGTATAGTTGCTTTGGAAGACAGGTTGGCAGTTCCTTACAAAATTAAATATACTCTTGCCATATAATCAAGCAATTGCACTCCTTGGTATTTATTTGCCCAAATAAGCTGAAAACTTATGTTCACACAAAAACTTGCACACAGATATTTTAGCAGCTTTATTCATAACTGCCAAAACTCAGAAGCAATCAAGATGTCCTTCAGTAGATGAGTGGATAAACTGTGGTGTATCCAGAAAATGGAATAGTATTCAGCACTAAAAAGAAATGAACTATCAAACCACGAAAAGAGAAACCTTAAATACATATTACTAGGTGAAAGAAAACAAAATGAAAAGACTACATACTGTATGATTCCAATTATATGACATTCTGGAAAAGGCAAAACTATAGAGACAGTATAAGGATCAGTGTTTGCCAGGGGGTGAAGAAAAGAAGGGTTGAATTAGCAGAGCAGAGAGGAATTTTAGGGCAATAAAACTATTCTGTATGATACTGTAATGGTGGGTATATGTCATTATACATTTGTTCAAATTCACAGAATGTACAATACCAAGAGTCAATCTTAATGTAACATATGGACTTATGGTGAATATGGTATGTTGATGTAGGTTTGATCATAACAAATGTACCACATTGGTATGAGATGTTGATAGTGGGGAAGGTTAGTGTATGTAGGGACAGGAGGTATTAGGTAATCTGTATGCCTTCCGCTCAGTTTTGCTGTGAACCTAAAACTGCTCTAACAAAAACAAATCTATTTTTTTTTTTTAAGTTTGAGAAGCTCTGCTCTACCAACTCGTACCCTCTCTTTCATCTCCCAGTACTCAAGTTTCATACATTCTACACCAACTACACTGAACCAGTTATGGTTCACCAAACATAATGGGCTTTTTCGTACCTTTTCACATGTTCTAAACTACTTCCTTTGCCTATAAATCCTGCCTTTCTCTTTTCCTTCCCTTGCCACCTCACCACACAAAGCCTTCTATATATCCTTTTCAAATCTCAGATTAAAAGTCATGTCTTCTGTGAAGTTCTTCGTGCTCTCTAGGTTGGGCAGTTCTCATAGCACCATTATAGTAATTGCCTATTTTAAGGGTTTATCTCTCCCACCAGACTGAGTTCCAGTGCCGGGGCCATGTCCCACTCATCATAGATCCCCAATGGCTAGTACATGCCTGGCACAAAATAGATGGTCAGTCAGCGAATGAAGAGAGGAACAAATGACCAGATACCAAACTCAACCTGGCAAGGCATCTAAGGCATCTGCCTAAGACATGCAAATTCTCTCCAGAGCAAGAATAAATGTTTCATTCTTACCAGCTCTGACCTGACTTTCATAAACACAAAACCAAAAAGTCTGGCTTCAAAGCCAAGGTCCTTTCCAAACTACTACTTTACCTCCCCTAAAGAATTTCAAGTTAAGTCAAGAAAACATACTTTAGTATAATGAGAAGAAATATCATTAAATAAGAATTTACCATGTATAAGATACCACAATGCACATTATTTTCTTTAATTAGTACAATCCTACGAGAGTATTACTACTGTCATTTTCCAAATGAAGAACCAAACGAACGAACGAACAAACGAACAAACAAACAAACAAACAGTTTGCCCAAGCTCATATAGCTAGTAAGAGCTGGAATTTGAACCCAAGTCTGATTCCCAAGGATCTTTCCTCAGTATCTTAATGAGAATCATTTGCCTATATGCCAATTGCTAGGGTTTAAGCTATTTATGCACTTGACAATTTCTCTTCAACAAGCAGCTGCTTTAACAGATGAAAGTCTATGGATTTACCAAGGCCCAAACTGAGCCATCATTTATGACAAATTCACCTGTCTTACTCATAGCTAGAATGCATGAGACATGTTACAGGGCTTTGTAATTGCTTTCTGTTCCTAAATTTCCTCTGAGCACATCTCTTTAAAGAGTGTAAAGAACAATTATGTTATTTTTCTTTTATTTAGATTTTTGTTTTATATATCTTATATTTCTCCATATTTCTACTACATGTTATTGATATACTATATAATATACCATCATGGGCATGGAATATCAAATACAAAAGGAACTTTGGTAATAGAGGCACAGAAAGAGAGTGGCTCAGAGGATGAGTAGTCTATAGAAAAGAGCCCCAAGGACATGGAATCATTTAACACAAAAACATACAGGGTAATGCTAAAGGTAGCTCTGCTTCCACAGGCCACTCTTCACTCTGCAACCTTTGCATATACCTCCCATATTCCCATCTCCAAGGTTTTGTTCACTTTTTCTTCTCCTTGCTTAGAATGATCTTCTTTTCATTCTCCCTGTTAAACATTCAGCCATCTTTCAAAGGCTAGTTGAAGTCCCACTTCTTCCAGAATGAATTTCCTGACCTTTCTTCCCTCTGGGAATCCCCAAGACATTGAGTCTGACACACTACCAGGCATTCGTCATCTCTTGTCTTAGATGATTCCTCACTGTTTTTGAGATTTACCTCCTAACCAAAAGTGTAAGCTTCTTGAGGACCAAAATCATGGCCCAAATAATAGTAGTAGCTGGGTTAAGGTTGTTACTATTTTATGGTTATTACTGTTGTGTTATTACTCTGTTATTATTATATTTTTATTGTTATCATTTTAAGGCTCTACTAAGGTAAAGAAAATGTATGTGCTTTGTAAGTGCAAGAGCTTTACAAACATGAAGTACCGTTAATATAAGGAAGTGTCAGAGATTTATATTGCAACCTCATGAGATACCTGGGTCATATCTGCCCAGAATTCCTGACCCTCAAAAACTGTGATATAATAAATGTTTGTTGTTTTAAAATGAAGAAGGGGGGATGGAGGGAAGAAGGAAAAAAGAAAAAAAAAAGTGTCAAAGTAAGATTTTCCAGCCTACTGAATGAGACAGAAAACTGGCTTAAGAGAAAGAAGAATCATCCTGATTTCATGTAACTAGAGATGACAGGCTTGAGGAAATAAAGTAGACAAAGAAGCTTACAACCTCACCCATCGTAACTTTAACCCTATCTCTGGCCTAGTCCATTCAGCGTTCCGA